GAAAGGTTCTCTGGAAAGGTGTCATTTATATATAGAACAAGTTGTCGTTAGGAGCACCTTGTTAAAATTGACAGAACTAGTCTGTGTACCACATGAGCACATAGCCAGTCTGTGGGAGCCAGAATTATTGTTATTTGATAGGGGATCAAATACTTATTTTACTCACTGAGCTGCAACTCAATTTATAACATTTGTATCATGTGTTTTTTCTGGATTTTTGGTTGATATTCTGTCTCTATCATTCAAAATACACCTATGATAAAAATTATAGACCCTTCACCTCTTTGTAAGTGGGCAAACTTACAAAATCTGCAGCGGATCAAATAATAATGTTTGCCACTGTATATCCACAAAATCCAGACCGCTGGTAGCAGATTAGGGTCGGATGGCCATAAGTGACCAAAGTCATTGTAAATGAGAAGCAGAAAGAGAATGCAGATCAAAATTTGAATTGGCTCTTGCAAACAGAAGCAACAGTGGGGAGATACTTCCTCGATGCTGTAAGGCAGGCAAGAGTGACCATGGCACTCCACCAAGCAGATGACATTAGCACTCAGTCCAAAAGCATTAATTCCTGCTATGGAAAAACAGGGAATAATATTGCGCTGTGATCTGTGCAAAAAGGTAGCTCCTGGAGCTCAATCTGTCCGGCCTACTCACTGTGTTTTCAGAGATAGGGCAAGTGTTAGGGCAATGGCAGCAGCTTTGAACACGGAAAGCACTCTACCACTAACTTTTACCAGAACAAAGTCTTGAAAGACCCCATTTGGAACTCAGTGTCCGAAGTCCCTTCCACGTTAGCCTTGCACTTTTCAGCCCAGCAGGATCTAGATACAGAACATTAAAAACCAGGCTGAGGGCAGCTGTGCTGGATAGCTGCAATAGGATTGAAAACTCCAACAGTGATGTAGCAAAGAATCTTGACTGAAGAAAAAAATCCAAGAAAAAAAATTGCTAGCAAAAAGTAAGTTTAGCCCTTATTATAGTAGAGCTAGAGAAAAGGTGTCCATTCTGCTAGGACACTAGCTAGGTCCAGGAGGGTTCCCGTATTTAACTAACGGGAGATGGTATCATTCCTCCACTTTTGCTAACTGTGCCACTGAAGGGTTGCTATACTTAATGTCATGTCAATGTCAGGTGTTCTATGTTGGGAAGACCATACGACAGAAAACTGGCGATCACATCTATTAACTGGGCAATGGCAAGATACTTACCCCAGCTACTTGGTATATTGGGCTACATCACAGCTGACAGTACCGTTGTTCGCTTCTTCGTCCTTGAGGTCACCTCCCCTAATCCATGGGGTGGTGACTGGGACAGACGGATCCTTCAGTGGGTGACACTTTGGAATGAATGCTTGGGTGATACAACTCTTCCAGGCATCAACGAGATGCTATCTTCTAAACCTTTTTTGTGAAATATCGATGGTCTTCCGCTGGCAATCCCTTTCCTAGCACTCTTTTATATATTGTTTCATGGTCTAATTTATGTATAATTTTATGGATATACTGTACGTCTACTTATTATGGCCACTAACCAGGCTGTTACCATAGAAAGGATTCTATTTTTATGAGTACAGTTGATTTTTACTTTCCCTTACATCTCCAGTCATTTTGACTTATTCTATTGTCTCAATTATATTTTTGTAATGGTACGGATTTGTTTTTGTTATTTTTGTGCTTGGTTCTTTAAGTAGTTCTGGACTGTCTGGCTATTTGGTTTTCTCTTTCTTTACCCATCAGTGTGCTTGTCAGTTTGGACCGGCTAGGTGGCTGGGAAACTTCTCTCGGTTGGCAGGTATCTGATCTATGGAGGGGTGGGACTGTGAAGTGGCTTCTCCACCCACGACTCCTCCCACCCGCTGGCCTGGTTGGCTGCTGAGCAGGCTGTCCACCCTGTCTCTCTGCGTCCTTGGTTATAGGCACTGCACATTCACGGAGATGATGTCACATGCCAGCTAATTGTGACTGGCTGTGCAGAGCAGGATGGAGCAGCATTTAAGGGAGAGGCATGTCCGATGGAGGTGGACGGTATGTGGCAGGACTATACTTTATGGTGAGGCTTCATACAGATGCTAGCAGCAAAGATGCACGTCATTGCTGGTTTTTGAAACCTATTTTGGCATTTTTTGGCTCCTCTTTTTCCTTTACAGCGTTTTAGCCTGAGGCTTAATGTGGTTTTTACTTGTAAGCACCTGGTGCATACACACGGCAACCTGTCAACATTTTTTTTAAAGAGGCTTTGGCTTGTGACCACGCTGCTCTATCCACCTGCCATTTGGTTTACCATTCTATTTGCCTACTGGTAGACAGTTTTGGCTATACCTTAAAATATCTGGTGGTTTTCAGGACCCTGTTATTCATACTAGTTTACATTCTGGTGGTTGTGTTTGATTTTATAGTTTCTATTCTACCAACACTGCTCCCGTGTCCGCCTAGGTGAGGGTTGTGGATCCTTGTTTCTGCCTCTCTAGCTTGGGCAGTCTGTCTGGCACCCCTGGGTAAGATCTGGTACCCTCCATCTTAAAAGTCCTGAAAACATATTAATATGGTGTATTCACATATGTGGTTTGTGAAATATGTATTATTTGTATGCTTGATTTCTTCACAGAGATTTCTTGCTCCCCAAACTCCTGAAGAAGATGTGAATACCGTGAAACACGTTGAGAAATGCCAATTGCCGGCAGGTTCCTGATAGTTGTTACCTAAGAAATCTGTGAAAAAAAACCATGTAATTTTTGTTGTACTGTGCTCAGCATAAATGAGTACACCCCTTTTGAAAAGTAAAATTTAATCAATATCTCAACGAACACTAACAATTTCTTAAATTTTGACAAAACTGAGTTCTATAGAACATTTGTTTAGCTCATTACATGAAAGTAAGGTTAATAATATAACTTAGATTACAAAATCTTCAGTTTTACTCAGATTAGTTGATGCAAAAATGAATACACCCCGCAACAAAAGCTACTACAATGTAGTATTTTGTATGACCTCCATGATTGTAAAGACAAGTCTTCTAGGCATGCAATGAACAAGTTGGCGACATATTGAAACATCTTTCTCCATTCTTCAAGAACGACCTCTTAGAGCCTGCATGCTGGATGGAGAGTGATGCTGAACTTGTCTCATCAGAATTCCCCATAGGTGTTTGATTGGGTTCAGATCAGGAGACATACTTGAATCACTTTCACCCTGTTGTTCTTCAAAAATGCAATAGTGGACTTAGATGTGCAGTTTGGATCACTGTCATGTTGGAAAAGTGCACAACGACAAAAGGGCATGGAGTGATGGTAGCATCTTCTCTTTCAATACAGAACAGTACATCTGTGAATTCATGATACCATCAATGAAATGCAGCTCCACGACACCAGCAGCACTCATGTAGCCCCACAGAAGGACACTGCCACCACCATGTTTCACTGTAAACAACATGCATATTTCTTTATACACCTCACCTTTGCGACGCCATACAGTTTTGAAGCCATCAGTTCCAAAAACATTTATCTTGGTCTCATCACTCCAGAGTACAGTGTTCCAGTAGTCTTTTTCAGCACGGGCCCTGGCAAATTCTAGGCGGGCTTTTTTTGTGCATGGGCTTTAGGAGAGGCTTCCTTCGTGGACGACACCCAGGCATGCCATTCCTCTGCAGTGTATGCAGTATTGTGTCAAGGGAAACAATCACCCCAGTTTGGCTATTTCTAAAGCTAACTGCAGTGAACTTGCATGGCAATTTTCAGCAACCCTTCTCATCTGAAGACGCTCCTGTTGAGATGTTAACTTCCGTAGATGACCTGGACATCTCTGTGAGATGGTTGCAGTTCCATCTTTGTTAAATTTTTGTATCGAGTTGCTACAGTATTCTGACTGATAAGTAAAGCTTTGCTGATCTTCTTGTAGCTTTCACCTTTCTTGTGAAAAAAAAATTATTTTCTTTCTCAGGCCTTCTGACCTTTCTCTTCCATGTGGTGCCATTGCTGACAGCATGAAATGGGAAGGGGTTTTCTTTGTTAAGTAACGCGCTTTTATAACCAACGGTCTGCTGGACACCTGTTTAATGAATAATTAGACTCACCTGTAGTTGAATTCTTGTTAATTAGGATTTTGTTGTCCAAAATTTAGTGTTGCTCCTAAGACTTTCATTGGGGTGTAATCATTTTTGCAACATGGGCTTGAATGAATCTGTTAGGAAAAATACTTTGTGTGTGCAAATTTACAAATCTTGTTTACAATCAATGGCCTGCATTTGTGGGGGTATTTTGTAGTATAGTGTCCCATAGAAAATGTTGATTCTGAAAGGAGAGTAAAGGGTTTTCTGACAAATCTGTTGGGGTGTACTCATTTATGCTGAGCACTGTATGTAATAAATATAAGAACTGCGTCTCAGTCTGCTGGGATCTCTAGCTTTTCTATGAGCATCCACATATACTCTAAATGTAGGACTTCTTTTAATGTATTTTTTGTAATAAAACTTTTGCATGATTTATCTGATATGTTGTATATGATGTCCGTTACAGTACCATAAAAGCCATATTCCTCACAATCCTTCCTTTTTGATAGATTCTAGGATGTAGTACCTTAATTGTCTTTATTGACCCATTCTAAATTTGCAAAAAATAAAAGTTAGCCCTCATCATAGTAGAGCTGAAGAAAAGCTGTCCATCCTACTAGGATACTAGAAAACCCCCCCCCCCCCCCAAAAAAAAAAACACAAGACATGCTGGTAGTAGGAGGGGTGATCTTGGACTTCTTGGAGCTTCTTGTTTGCCAGTGTCCAGGCAGCAGTATAACCTGAAGGTTACAAAAAAACCCAAAAAAACAAAACCTTGTACTTTTTAAAGAACATTACACATTCCCATTTAAACCTTTTTATGGGTCAGTACCCATTCTCTGATCGCAGAATTGTTGAAGTTGAAGCAATAAGTTCAGTGTTATTGATGAGAGGTACAAGGAGGAAAAGTTTGATCTAGTGAGTGGAATGCTTTTTTACTTCAAGATTAGTCACTTCATAGCTTCATACCTTAGAAGTTTCTGTTTTTGTTTAGTTGTTAGGGATTTTAAAAACTCCACTTCTGGGTCATCTTCTTCCTCTGCATCACTGACTACATAGACCTATAAAGGAAGAAGATATTTGGCTATAAACAAATTATAAAAATAGATCAAAGCAAATGCAGCATCAAAAGATTAGCTACCGAGTTTGACTGTTTATTCCAATCAAGAACTTCAAACAGATTGGTAAAATGGAGCTTAATATCAAAAAAGATATTTTGGTATTTGTTGGTATTTTTGAAACGTTCTAACCGCTACAGCCCCGGGCAATAAGATAATGGGACCTCCTGGGTCTCCACCTACACTAAAGCCAAAAACCATACAACACCCCACCTACATATTGAAGCTCAGCTCCATATAATAGGGCATTAAAATATTAAAAATAATATCAGCACAGCTGAAAGCTGGCTTCTTCTCCTCTCCCTCCTGCTGGCTTCAGAGAGAAGAGCCATACAGGGGATAGGTTCCAGTAATTCCTCCCCCCACCCTGTCATGCTGATCCCCCCTCAATGTGCACCGTTTTCCTCTGCTGCTCAGGCTCCACTGTGTGCCCCTACCCCCGTAGTGTTGCCGGCTTACCCAACAGCAGCTGAAAGCACTCAATAGGATCCTACTTCAGGATGGAGAGTGGAGGAAGGGTCTGGTAAATATGTCACATTTACCAGGCCCCACCTTTCCTGAATGAACACAAGGAGTGATCAGTTCCAATCACTCACTGTGTTCATTCACAACAGAAGCTTAGTAAACTGTGGGGTTATTTTTGGTGGGGGGGCCATCTCAGGTTGGCTGTATGGGGCCCTGTGGCTTCTAACAGCAGCCCTGTTGCCCAATGCCGACTGTGACCAAACAACTCTTAGTTGTCATTCTGTAACTCAAACAACTGTCTTAGTTTCATCAGTCCAAAGCACATTGTTCCAGAAGGCATACCTCATATGCAGGATAAATTCGTGCACACAAAAAGAGAAAAGGGAAATTAAAATTTATTATAAAGACAATTGGCAACTCAGATAGGGTTGGGATAAAAAAGATTAGATTAGCTTGAAAAAGCAGCACAGCTGACAATACATTTGCAGTGCATATGCTCAGGAAACACGTCTCAGATCCGGAGCTGTCATCATCACGTCTCACGTTGCGCTCCATGAGCGTTCCAGCCCTCGGTTCGGGATCCTCTCCATCTACAACTGGCCGATATAAATGCTGATACACCGTAGATACCTCCCTTGGGATGGATATTGATGGGCCTTTTTATCCCAATCCTATGTGAGTTGCCAATTGTCTGTTATAATAAATTCATACTGTAAGCATCTACACTTTGAGGCGCCTCTTTCCCTTTTCTCTTTTGTGTACTCTAGAACCTGCTTCAAGTTCACCGCTGAGGTAACCATCAGTGTTTGGACTGTTTTAACACTAGGACTATCTATTCCATTACATAATGGCAAAATATAATCAGTATGCAATCATTTTGTTGACTATTTTAGCTGGAAATTGATTATGTCATTATTGTTATACAGGACTATTTCCCGTTTTATTGCTCATTTTATAGGATAGTGTATTACACGAGAACACTAGTCTTGCACCAGATGTGTCTTTTATATAGGATAAATTTGTGCAAACTCTGACTATTTATACATGCGCTGTTGCAAGAGTTGCCCGCTGATCCTGCAATTAAGATTTGGGCTTGTTGGAGCCTTTTTTTAGCATCAAATGTTTAGCAATTGGGCTGAATTCGCTGGGCCAGCCAATCCTGCGCAAATTAACAGCTGTTTGAAATCTATACCACTTTAGATTAATTTCTCTACAGTGGAAGGATTTTCTTGAAATTTGGCAATCTTTAAATCTCATAGGCACCAGACTCATAGCCATTCACTGCAACCTTCTTTCTGAAGGCCTTTTGATCTTGATTCAATAACATGTCAATAGCAAAGAGAACACCAATGCTCCTGTGCAATTCCAGTATGAACTAGCACTTAAAGGCAGGTTTCAATGTGAAATATTAGTATTCAGAAATCCATATTTATTAAAATGTAAAAAAAAATTGTTTTGAACATCTTAAAAAGTATAGATTTCCTTTAAGTACAGCTGCAAGGTAAAGGCACAATAACCTGCTCCATGCCCACAACAATGTACACTTATTACTGAACAGGAAAGCCATAAAACCACCACAGAGTACCCTGAGAAGTGAATCTTCTCTTGAAGTATAGACAATAACCACACTTACAAAAAGCTGCTTTCATCGTACATACATGGGGGGAGGCAAGTTCTGAGACCATCAACTGGCAGCATTGCTGTGTCTGGCTGCCTTTACTCTCTGCTTGACTGTAAGTCACCAACATATGGAATAAAGCACCAACATAATCTGGTCTTACAAAAAAACCTCCAAGCATTTTGCTTAAGGTAAAACTAAGAAACTGACACTTACACTGAATAGCAGGCAAGTCTAAGTGACAAATTCCAGTTCTTGTAGAGTGCTTGAGGTGCCCCTGAAACCTTGCATACATTCACATGGAAACAGCAACTAGATACTGTGGCCTCTGGCTTACCCCCTTTTGCCTCTAAATTCTCTATACTGGACTATCCCTGTGATAAGCAATAATGAACCAATAAAGAAGCACCGGAGGGAGCAGGCCAAAGAACATAGGAGCTAGATGCTGTAAGGAGGAGATCTCATACCCTCTGGGTATGGGATCTTCTTGGGTGACAAAGAGATGGAAAAAGACAAAAGTGTTCCATCTGAGGTGTCTGCTATTTAATGTAAATTACTGCCAAAAAAAAAATACTTGTTTACTTGAGTTAGAATAAAAACTTATTTTTTGCAAGACAGGAAAACAATAATTTTTGGTCTTGCCAAAATTCCTGTTTCCTTGTAACTTTCTAAAACCATAGTATCACCTTTCCCAGATATCTGCTATGAATCACAAAACACCTCCTCTCTATGTAACAGAGATGAGGAGAGGAGAATGAATGCATTTAAAGTGCAAGTCAGGAGAGCAGCCTAGGTTGCTCCTCCATAAGTATAGTGCAGTGAATCGGTGTCACCCTAAGCACTGCTTCACACTTTATGCGACTTTGAAATTGCGCTACTTCACTTGAAGTTTCAAAGCCACAGATCAGTGAGATTTGTACCTTTGATTTCACTGCGGCTTGCGACTTCATTTATCAGAAGTCAATGCAAGTCACAATGAAATCGGAAAAAAAGTAAAAGTAATACAGGAACTATTTTTGAAATTGCGTTACTTCAAATTGCACTGATTAAGACAGTGCCATAGAAATACATTAGATGTGACTTCAGGTGCGATTTATAAATCACATGTCGCCCTTGAAGTCACACGGGTTTGAACCAGGGCTAAGACAGGAAGTGTGGTACTGACAGGATCACAAGGTTACAATAAAAAGGAAAAAGAAAACTAAAGTGGTTCTAAAGCTTCAAGGTTTTTATTACCTTAAATGCATACTATGCACTAAAGTATAAAACCTTCTTTGTCTAAGACTCCCCCCTCACACCCTCTTATACTTACCTGAGCTGATGTCTATCCAGTGCGGTGCAGGAGAGCTGCAGCTCTCCAAGCTCTGTCCCTCTTCACTGGGCAGATTGATAGCAGTGGGAGCCATTGGTTCCCAAGTCTGTCAATCAAATCCAGAGAGGAGGGAGCTATCTCCAAGTCTGTCAATCAAATCCAGTGGAGGAGGAAGGGGGTGGCACAGAGTAAGTAAATATAATATGTGTATTATTTTAATAAAAAAAAAGAAAAAAAACAGAAAACAGAAGTTTTATTATCCCTTTAAGCGGTCACCTCTAATGTCTAACACACTGCAATGAATTACATTTTTGTCTTCAGATTTGCTTTGAGATTGTCATACATTTTCCAATCCAGGGGCGGACTGACAACTCATGGGGCCCCCGGACAATAGGGGATCATGGGGTACCCTGTGTCCTTGCCCAAACTCAAAAAAGCCTATGAAAAAGGTACCTGGGGCATCTCATGGTGCCCCCTACTGACCCCGGGCCCTCGGGCAGTGCCCGAGTTTCCAAATGGTCAGTCCGCCCCTGTTCCAAGCAGATTGTACAATCCTCTTTAGAGTTACTAATACTGTGCAATAGTATGCCTTCCTAAACAATCCATCTATATCCAGTAAGACAGGTGCAAAGACTGTACAATCAGAAAGTAATGTGTAAAAGTCTAAGGGACTTTTGTGATTTTATGTAGGCCCACCCAATCACTCTTGCTGTGGCTATGACATCTACTGGGGAAAATACAACCATATATTTGTATGTTATTCTTAAATATCCCACTCACATTTAGATGACATGAGATGGTATTAATCAACCTTGAAACAATAAAGGAAAGGAAAAGAAAGAAAAAAAAAAAAAAAAAAAAAAATGGATTGTGGATTATGTAGCCATTACAAGACAGATGTATCAAAAATCGTACTATAGACATGGCTGCTGCAGTAACAGCAACTGTTCTTTTTGACACCTTAAAAAAAAGGCAGCTACAGGCTCTATCAACGCAAATAACCCCATAATAATTTTGCACACTTTTTCCAGAAGAGATGGCAAAAGTAGCAAAATGGTGAAAAAAAAGTAGACTTTGTTTATGCAATATAACAGCTCAGTTGTTAGCATGAATTCTCTATTTCAAACATTCAACAGCCATAAAAGCCTTCTGTACAGCAGAGGGACAATGTAATGTGCAAGCAGAGCACAATAAAATGGACAAGATACAAAACATGAATATAGAGTGAAAGTAATACATTGCACTAAGTTTAATATCCCTGTCCTTTACAAAGTGTTCTAATGTGTTGCAGTTTGTGCCCATGCAGTGCTTTGTCTGTCTTCAAAGGCTCTTGACAAATCCATCACTAAAGTGGCTTGCGAACAGATTGCTCAGGAAAAAAGCTTTATGGAGTGGTCATCAGGCAGCTCCAGCATTACACTTAGGTGTGTTGTTGTTGCTGTGGAGATAGCTGCCTTTTATTATGAATATTCAATTACAGCAATCTCTGTGTGTCGGGATGATACAAAGCCTAATGCACCCAGTTTTTTTTTTTTTTTTTTGTAATCCCGGCATCAAGTCAATGTGGAGCATAGCCGATCACCAATGTGTCCATTTAGAAACAAATTCTTTCTATTGTTCCTATTCAAAGCCTCTCCGGGCTCAGCCAGTAGGTATCAGGAAAAGAACACTGTATTTCGGGAAAGAACAATGTATTTCAGGATGACAGCCATCCCCTAGGTTGGCACTTACTTGGAGAAATGCTGTTCAATTTATGCAAGATGAAATTAAAAAAAAATGTTTTGTATACTTCCTTGATATAGAAGGTATATAATAAAAAAAAAAAAAATCTTCCGCCAACATAAGCCATTTTAATGTTCTTTTACTGCCTTACGAATGCTAAGTAGCAATTTTCAAGTAATCGCATGTAAATTTATAGATATTTTCAGCTTACTGATAAAATAAATAAATAAAAAAGATCATTACCTGCGATGGATCATTTACGGTCAGGTTTCTTCCCAGTACATTTTGTTTCAGAGCAAACCCACTGTTTCTCATCTCCGCCATTAACTCCGAGGGGTGCATTGATGGTCCTGTGAAGAGGAATTTTGGTTTGAATGCATCACTGATATCTACCTATCTTTATTCTGACTCCGCGGTAGGAATGTGTTTGAAGCTTTGTTAAGTCAAATCGCAGCTAAATCAACTCAATAATCTTCTGCTGGGAAAAGCATCGGATATGATTTTCTAAAACAGCAACCAGGAGATTCGGAATACAGTATAATTGCATTTGTGTTAAAGCGAGGAGCCGGATTCTCCTCTTATGTAACTTACTAATGCTTGGTGTATTGTAGAGGATTCTCATTACAGGACAACGGTGGAAGGGGTCCTGGTGTTCCCTAGACTAAGCAACGAGCTTCTTGGCAGCTTACCATCCAGTACAAAGCAACCACACCAGAAAAATATGCGACTGCCAGCTAGAAACTTTCATGTTCGCAGCACAATACAGTGGTGGAATATGGGCCATACTTAAAATCCAGCTACTTGGAATGATCATTATTCCACTTAAAGGCTGGCACCCACAGCTCACTTCACGATTGGCAAGACGTAAATTTGTGCCACTCACAAATGCCCTTTAAATGCTCATTTCATACTTGTTATCCCTGCAGTGAAGGCCATTATGAATGTACGGGAAAAATTTCTGCTGCTTATTGAAATAATTACAATAGGTTTAAAAGGCACAGGCCTTGGCAGCTTAGTTTGCCATCAGACTAAAGCATATGAGAATAACAGGCAACATAGGAACAGTGAAACACATAGGGGAAGGAACAGAGCTCTGACTGGTACATTAATAGACACAGTTAACCTCCAAAATTGATCGGTCGTCATTTCTAAATCCTAGCCATTACCGTGCCACAATTTTAACACGAAGAGGGTAGAGATGACTGTTAAAGAGGAACTCCAAGAACATAAACACAAATGTCATTTAATTCACATATTCCAAAGTCTTGGAAACATTTTTTCCTCAGCTAGAGAAATTACTTACAGGGTAATGCCACTTTTGTAGGAAAAAAATAGCAAATAAAAAAAAAAAAAAAATATAGATAGAGAGATAGAGAGAGAGAGAGAGAGAGAGAGGAGAGAGTCACACAAGTCATATTGTAATTGAATGTTATTAAATTGACCATTCCTTCTCAATCTGCAACACTGTAATTTTCTTTAAAATGCAATGTAATGTAGCAACCTGGAGGTGCTCTATACAGAATGTGTACAGAATACCCCCCAGAAATGTCATTTCCTGCTTGTGCGATTGGCTCACGGATTTTCCCAGAAGTCTGCACGAAGATACAAGTAGAATTTGAGCACCCCCTGCAACAAAAATTTCATTTTTGGTGAGATACTCACAAAGGAAAAAAATCATGCCAAAAAGGAAAGCTGGCCTTGCCACTTTCCTCAGAGAGCCTTTCGGTGCAGCAGCAGATAGATAATTATAAAGACACTTCCATACAATGGAAGTGTAGTAGTCACTCTGTACATGGACACACACAAACAGCTATTTTGTCAGAATAACTAAAAGGTAGGAAGCTGCAACAAAGTTTGTTAAAATCCTTACAAAGGACATTGATGACCCAGGAGGTTAATATTTTTTCTCAGCAAAAGTGGAGTTACTCATAATTAGCAGGTAAAGTTTTAGTAACTTACAGCCTATCTGCATTGTAGATAGTGATGGTTAAAAAAGTTTGAGAGAAATGTCCAGCTTCTGGAATGTGTCCAAATAGGGTGTGAACTTTTTAATAGTTTAGAAGAGGTGGGGAATTAGTATAGTTTCAACCATTTATATGAGCAAATATGATCAGATTTCGGTTTTCTTTGTTTTATGTTGTATAAATAGAAGCTGCTGCCATGTGCTAGATAGCTACGCTGATGAATCGGTGAAAGGTACGCTCTGACCATTGATTTAGGAAATAGCAATGCGTGGCATGCCTACTGCAAGAGGAATCCTTGACTGACTGGACTGCTGCTGAATTGCTATTTCTGTAACCAATTTGCTATAATTACCAATATTTTCCTATGTAAAAAAAGAGACGTACATTTCACTCTTTCAAATGTATGTTATGACAGGTTAGCTGTACCTTAAATGGTGTGAACTAAACCTGCATAAATTACTTATCATTTGTATGCCATACTTGGGTTTTACATCTTAGATTTTAAAATGTTTTAAAATAACCCTGCTACTTCAAAGAAATCATTACTGAAAGAATATCAGCTGACCTCCCCTTCGGCTGTCATGTTGATCCATTTGCTTTAATACTTAAATGAAATAACCCAAAATAGTAATGCAGACCAGGAACTCTAGTCTTTGGTGACAACACAAGTGTTCCAAATCAGAATTACTATATCAACATGAAAGCAATTAAACTGGCTTTTGCAGATGGTGAAGTAATAGTCTAAAGGCCAAAGTTAAATTTTTGGAAAAAAAAAAAAATGATTTGCAGGTTAAAAAAAAAAACCAAACAAAACAAAAAAAAAAAACAAAACGTGCATTTATTATTTTTTTGTTTTATGGAGCATGCAAAGCAAGCTATTGCAGACTCTCAGGATAGCTGTCTGCCCATACCTCATATGGCACAGGCAGAGAGCAGGAAAATCAATTGACTACGGGAGCCCTCACCAGCACTCTCGTAGTGCATGGAGAACTACAAGCCATCAGCCACAATGGCTGACGGTACCTGAAGTCCACCCATTCACAGGAAACTGTGAATGAATGACCTGGCCTTGTGGCTAGAGCCCTACATTGCCACGCTGTTTTTTAACTTGTGACAGTGGGTGCGGGGAGAGGATCCCTTGCCCGTTGTAGCAGAGAAGGGGGGGGGGGGGCCAGGGGGAGAGGATGCAGATGCTGGAACATGGTATATGTTCCACTCTAAAAACAGGTGGAACATGTAACGTGTTCCAAAGGTTAATTTATCCTTTAACCAGTTGGCGCTGGCCACACATATATACACGGCCACTCAGCAGGTGGGCCTTAATGCCCAGTGGTCGCATATATACGGCCCTATATAAAGCACGGTAACCGGCGGTGATCAGTAAGCTCCTGATCCATACTTGGAATTGGGATCATTCCGATCATGTGCCCGCTGTGGTAACCAATTACAGCGGTCACATGACCTGAATGTCCACCTTCGTCTCCCGGCATCTAGAAGCTCTTAAAAGGGCCGGGAGGCATCAGCGCAAAAATGGTTAAATATTTCATATACTGCTCTAGGTGAGATGAGGCTGCACGCTCCACAATTACATTTCAGGTGCTGGCTTGGTGCCTCTCCAAGAAAACAATCAATTGTATTAGCAACAGGAATGCTGCACAACGAGAAGCAAAATAATCTTCCCTTATTAAAGTAGCCAGCAGAAACAAATTCTATTCTGACATGTTTCGTGCTAGGTGTAACGTACATGTAAGATTTGAGTAGCTGAGATATGACATAAATATAAAGATTTGAGTAGCTGAGATGTGATCTGTAGAAAATATGACAGTGTAGGTTTAGCTCATTCCATGGTAATATGTGTTCAGAGTTCAGAGACAGATGGTCACCAATTAGCATCTGAAGGGACAGAGCTTCCTCTGGAAGGAGGTAACACCGGGGTGCCAATAAAATTTGTCACCTACATATTAGACATTTCGGCTTTACAGACAACGGGGGGGGGGGGGGGGGGGGGGGGGGGGGGGGGTACCAAGAGAGGGCTCCAAGGTGTCTGTCGAGCTTTAAAGTATATCACAGATCAAAGGAATAGATTTGATCTCTAATAAAAGCTAAAATATTAGTTGCAGAGAGATGAAAATACTTCCTTCTGATTGGGCACTCTGTGGGCTACATCTGCATGTAAAAACCGTATTTGTGGCCTATGTAGAATACCAGAAAAATGCAGGAAATGGTTATGTGGCACCGAATTGCGACAGCTGAACAGTGATTGGTACTGTCGCGCTCAGACTGATGCACTGGTGTCGGAAATTCAATCCCTGACTTGGTGATTCAAACCGTTCCTGGTCCAATCGACTTTGGGCATTTCAACCCCCCAGGGTTGATTAGCCAAGGGCTCGTGTCCAGCCCACGTCCATATTCCCATAAATTGAGGACTTGAGATATGGGCGTTGTGATTTGTATGGAGCCCGTCCTTATTGACTGACGGATCGTGGACTTTCTCTGACTTGCTCCAGTCGCAGGATAAATCTTGGTAAAAGTTTTATTTCTGTTTTTTATTCCCTTTTATTTTATAGTCAATAGCCAATTGTGTGTCTTCTTGTATTTGTTGTATTTTCTGTAACTTTTTATACTTTATACATATTTTATGCACTGCACACTTTGGGATATTAAATCATAAAATTAATAAGTGACTTCTGTATATTTAAGCGAGCTCATATCTCCGGAGAGATTACATTGTATGTGATTGTGTGTGTCTATTTGCTCGGTCAAGTTCATTGCCTATCTGTATGCAATTGCACTGCGTGTTGGCAGATTGCGTGCAGATTGTAAACGTAGATCTGCCAGACAGAGATCTGTGTGTGTGTGGTGTCCCAGCAGGCCAGTAAAACTGTTGGGTGGTGGCAAGCTATCGTTTGTGGTGTGTCTGGTGTGGGGGGTGTGTGACAGTGGAAGAGTGATTAACACCGGGGTTCTAGCTTGTAGGATAGCTGGAGGAATCCTAGAAGGGTGTGCCAATTGCTAGGCTGCTCCTCAACCCTAATTAGTGCACCAGATTGCATGTAAGATTTGTGTCTGCCCCTGTGTGGTCGGCCGGCTGGATTGGAGTGGAGTCTCCCTCCAGTGGTGGCCAAGAGGTAGTGCGGGCTGTGAAAGTATATCACGGCTGGTGTTATATACTTACATATATATTCAAAGTTAAGTCCCCCTTATTCCCTCTTACCCCAAGTCACGGCCGCACGTGCGCGCCTCGGTTAGCTAGTCGCTGTGGGGGAACCGTGACAAAAGACATAGCTCTTTTTCAAATATTCTTTGAGGAAGCGCTGTGCCTAGCACACAACACATGAGAATAAAACTTGTTCCTGCTGGTTTATGACATTCCTGCTGCTAATACAATACAGCCCTGGCCAAAAGTTTTGAGAATTAACCCAAATATTAATTTTCACAAAGTCTGTTGCTTCAGTGTTTTTAGATCTATTTGTCAGATGTTACTATGGTATACTGAAGTATAATTACAAGCATTTCATAAGTGTCAAAGGCTTTTATTGACAATCACATTAAGTTTATGCAATGAGTCAATATTTGCAATGTTAACCCTTCTTTTTCAAGGCCTCTGCAATTCGCCCTGGCATGCTGTCAATGAACTTTTGGGCCACATCGTGACCGATGGCAGCCCATTCTTGCATAATCAATGCTTGGAGTTTGTCAGAATTTGTGGAGGGGGGGGGGGGGGGGTTGTTCACCTATCTCTTGAGGATTGACCAAAAGTTCTCAATGGGGTCTGGGGAGTTTCCTGGCCATGGACCCAAAATTTTCGATGTTCTCTTCCCCAAGCCACTTTGTTATCACTTTTGCCTTATGGCAAGATGCCCCATTATGATGAAAAAGGCATTGTTCATTACTAAACTGTTCTTGGATGGTTGGCAGAAGTTGCTCTCAGAGGATGTTTTTGAACCATTCTTTATTCATGGCTGTGTTCTTAGGCAAAATTGTGGGTGAGCCCACTCCCTTTGCTGAGGAGCAACCCCACACATGAATGGTCTCAGGATACTTTACTGTTGGCATAACACAGGACTGATGGTAGAGCTCACCTTTTCTTCACTGGACAAGACTTCTAACTCACTGTACATGCAGATGCACTCACACCGGTCTGCTGCTATTCCTGAGCAAGCTCGGAACTGGTGGTGCCCTGATCCTGCAGCTGAATCAACTTTAGGAGACGGTACTGGTGCTTGCTGGACTTTCTTGGGCACCCTGAAGCCTTCTTCACAACAATTGAACCTCTCTCCTTGAAGTTCTTGATGATCCAATAAATGGTTGTTTTAGGTGCAATTTTAGTAGCAGCAATATCCTTGCTTATGAATCCTTTTTTGTGCAAAGCAATGATGACTGCACACATTTCCTTGCATGTAAATAAACATTTGTGTCATTCTCAAAAAGTTTGGCCAGGGCTGTTTATATCGGTCTTAGTTTTCTCTTTCTGGGTATTGGTTTCTTTTCACACAAGTTTATGTAAGCATTTGTGTTATGTTCCACATCACTATGCTCTCTGCCGAGGAGAACCTGCTGATCTCAGGTGCAAACAACACAGACTGCTAAACTGAACCTGACTTGAAGTGCCATCACTATCCCTCTACAAAACAGTGATTGTGCATCAACTGCCAATACTTTGTATGAGCAGTAGAAAGGGACAGGGGCTGCACATAGTTTCAAGATTATATATAAGAGAGATATACATTATATTGCCAAAAGTATTGGGACACCCTTTCAAATGAATGGATGCAGGTGTTCCAATCACCTCCATGGCCACAGGTGTATAAAATCAAGTACCTAGGCATGCAGACTGCTGCTACAAACATTTGTGAAAGAATGGGTCGCTCCCAAGAGCTCAGTGAATTGAAGTGTGGTGGTACCGTGATAGGTTGCCACTTCTGCAAAAAGTCCATCCGTGAAATTTCCTTGCTACTAAATATTTCACAGTCAACTGTTAGTAGTATTATAACAAAGTGGGAGCAACTGGGAACAACAGCAACTCAGCCACGAAGTAGAAGGTCACATAAAATGAGAGAGCAGGGTCAATGCATGCAGCAGCACACTGTGCACAGAATTCGCCAACTGTCTGCAGAGTCGATAGCTAAAGACCTCCAAGCTTCCTGTGGCCTTCAGATTAGCACAACAACAGTGTATAGAGAGCTTCATGGAATGGGTTTCCATGGGCAAGCAGCTGCATCCAAGCCTTACATCACCAAGTGCAATGCAAAGCGTTGGATGCAGTAGTGTAAAAGCACGTTGCCACTGGACTCTAGAGCAGTGGAGACATGTTCTCTGGAGTGAAGAATCATGCTTCTCTGTCTGGCAATCCGATGGACGCATCTGGGTTTGGCGGTTGCCAGGAGAACAAATACTTCCTTGACTGCATTCAGCCAAGTGTACATACATGGATGAGCGAGTTTGGGGTGGAGGAACTGACCTGCACAGAGTCCTGATCTCAATCTGATAGAACAACTTTGGGATAAATTAGAGCGGAGGCTGCGAGCCAGGCCTTCTCGTCCGACATCAGTGCCTGACATCACAAATGTGCTTCTGGAGGAATGGTCAAGCATTCCCATAGACACACTCCTAAACCTTGTGGACAGCCTTCCCAGAAGAGCTGAAGCGGTCATAGCTGCAAAGGGTGGGCCAACTCAATATTCACCCGACAGACTAAGACTGGGATGCCATTAAAGTTCATGAGTAAAGGCCAGTGTCCCAATACTTCTGGCAATATAGTGTACATAGAGATATATATATATATATAGAATTTTAATTGATTTCAGTATCTAGCCTTATACCAGTTCCCCATTGTTAAAGAACAACCTACACATTGCATAGAAAGTATTGGTAACATGACCTCTATAAGATGATGTATATGATTATGAAACTTCTGCATAAGGGGGTTTACAATTGAAGTTATAATATATCAGGTTCACCATCTCTAGTGCTAAAACACATTCGATTTTCAAGTAAGGTCAAAGAGAACGTATCTGAATTCTTACAAAAAACTCATTATCTGGATCTACTAGAAGTAAAGAACATCAGTCAGTTGAAGGGTCAGGGACTGTGTACAATGCATCTTAGAGTCATTGTACCTTCCACCATCTTTCATTTTCTTTGCTACTGTTGCGTGTAGGCTATTGGCAGACACTGCCTTCCTTTTCATAGACTTACTGCCGGCTCCCTATACAGTCACCTGACATCTGTAGAGCAGAAAGAATACAGGACCGTTGTATGTACCAGCTCTTCGAGAACACAGAATTGCCATAGTTTCTGAAGCTTCTGAATTTCCAAAGACCAAGCCACCATGTAGAGATACCTAGCAAATCTTTTTCATCATTGCAGCCTTGGATTTGAGCATCTCCATGAAGCCAGGCTGGCGGCGTCAAGAGGGACCCTCCCCTGACTCCTCATGCTGTTGGGTGGTGACCTTAACCATAGTCGCGTGTATTTTTAGACCTACCCTAGCGTTTTTACGTGCTTTGTTTCGTTCTCTGTTATGTTATCAAAAAGAACCATTTTGACTAGATATTTAAAAAAAATATCTATAAGAGCCAACAGAGGTGACAAGGAGAAAAAAAAAAAAAAAAAAAATCAATCCAGGTTCATACATTTCTCTGAACACAAACGCTGTATTTCACACTGCTAAATGTAGTCGGGTCCATGTTGTTTTAGGTGGAAATTAATTCACACAGAAAGCTTACAAAGGGCCACAGGTTGGTAGCATACGGTGTAGGATATGGGTCTCAAAGTGGGTCAAAGTAAAAAATGGTAATCCTGGAAGACTATATAAAACAGAAATTACAATTTATTCATAAATCTCCACACATGGTTTTAGAGACCACGGAATCTGTTACATCTTAATCCAGCCATAGATATCTTACCAGAGGTGGATGTAAAGATATTATTATAAATACTAAACAATGTCTTGACTACCCAACAGATATGTAAGCTGAAATTGCATAAGCATGGATGTGTGTTTGGCTGTGTGCAGTTCAACCACCCATAACATTACTATTATACCAGGGTACCAATAATCCATGGACTGGGCAGGTCTGTTGTCAACTACCAACTTTATGCCAATAATAATGGGGTCTTTTCAAAAAGTGAGTGAGAAACTCTGCTATCCCCTATAACACTCAGATCCTTCCTTTTGATTGCCATGGCTTGACAAGAACCATTTAGGATCCTTTATTAAAGTTACATCTGTTCTAAGCAGTATAGTCCAGATGTCCATAAACTTTACAAAGTTTTCCTGGGACAGCAATAGTGATGAGCTCAGGTGTGTTCAGATCTTAGTCTGCAGCTATGTGAGCGAGGGTACCAGGAAGCCATCACTGTACTGGGCCAATCATAAGCGGACAAATCATCCCCATCCTGCAGTCATACTCATCTTGTAAATGTGCAGCTGCAAGCAGGGAATGCCTCAGCTGCTTATGATAGGTCCAATACAGGTGACAACTTCCTGGCCGGCTTGTTCGGATGGGTTCGGATTAGGATCTGAACCAGCCTGAGCTCATCCCTAGACAGTAAGTGGAAAACAGAACACACACAAAAAAAAAAAAAAGAAAATCATGTGAAAATATTGGAGTCCATGTTGGCTAGTTATTTGAAAGCTAACATAGGATTCCAGTGCTGCAAATATGCAAAGCTAGAACTAGAGGAAGATTACATTAACAACAAGTTGTACACTTACATACTTTATATATAAAAAAAAATGAATACCTTTAAAACTAAACTCCAGGCAAACATCTAAAAAAAACACAGATGAAATGTATGCAAAGGAGCTGCTTCACTTACTAAAAGATGTGTTTTTATCAATTAAGTAAGAAAAACAGTGATGTAACCTCCCTACCCCCCGAGATGTGTTCATTGATTTCTTTTACACCTTCCCGAAGTCCAGCTTTAAAGACTAGAAAAGCCTTGTTGGTTTATGCACAGAAAAGAAACAAAGATACACAAATCTGGACCCTTAACTAGCAGATTAGGAAAGTCAGAAGTCCTTATCTACATACTTGTTCCCGACTCAAACTGCTGAGGTCACAGATGTCAGAATTACAGCCAATCAACTAGCAGAAGATAGGTCAGCAATGGCAAATTCCATGTTTCCCTAGTCAGAAAAGCAGTCTATATGTGCAACACTCACTGTAACAATAGAGAGATGAAGTCATCAATAACCCCCTGGTTAGACTTAAAATGCTCATGACAAAGAAAGTCCTGGGATAAATAGAATCTATACTAGTGGTTATTGGCACCACATTCAGGAGAAAATAAAAGATCTTTAAGGCAACCAGAGTCAATAGAAAAAAAACGTGAATGTTTCTGTGCTAAACAGTGGTAAATGTTAAATGTCAGAAATGACTTGTTATAGTACTTGAGTGGATTGGAAAAACATGAATAAGCTTGTGTGACCACTAAATTAAAGCTAGGACTTTTAGCTTTTATTATTCACGGTCCCACTCCTATATAAAGCAGTCACAAACCAGCACAATAGCGACACAATCCTTTCAATAAATGATATTTTTATTGATGTGTCCAAGCATGTGTGCTGATGGTTATGAAGAAGCAGGAAGGGCCACAACACCCCTTAGAGGCTCCGTTATCACAGAAGAATTATGAGCAGTTTGAAAAAAAAAACAAAAAACAAAAAAACAAACAAAACAAACACACTGCTGATCAACAGTTCCACTTGTTCAGACATGAGGATCTTCATGAGCATTCTAAAGTTTGGAACATTTGCATTATATAATCAGCTAATTTACATGTGCTGTGAATTACAAATATATTCAGATTCACCAAAGAGATCTGCGATCATAAAAAGGTACAAGGCCCCATGCTTTCTAATTACTAACAGTGAATGCCACTTACAGGTATAAGCACAGCTTTTCAAAATTGGGAGTCTTGAGAGAAGCACCCTAATTACTCAGTGAGTACAAAACAAAAAAACATAAGCATCAATAACATTTGTATGCATTTATGGATGATCCTCAGGAGTAAAAACAAATCCCACTGATGCATCTGGGCCAGTTTAGGCCTTAATAGTGGTACAAATATGAGGCCCAGATCGGCTGCAATTCAGTAGTGGGATTGTTTTTACTTCTTTAGCTCTTCAATAAATGTAGATGGCATTAACTGTCACCCTAATGACCCGATGTGGCCATCTTTGTACTCCACTGATGTAGAGGAGGTATCCTCATTACATACTCGAACAGTGATTAGTGGCAAACAGAAGCACCAGGCGAGCGATTACTTTTTACTACACCGATTTGTCACCAGTGACTACAAAGTAAAAGAAAAAAAATGGCAGAAAAATGCCCAAATAGAAACAGACAAGTACTGGTGATTGCCAACGGGTTTGGTAAAAGCCAGTCCAACAAAAGTGACCTTTCAGCAGTGAGGTCTTATATTACATGGTGCCTCAAGCAATGCAGATTCTTTGCTGTGGTTGTTGTGGTTCCACAGGTTTTGTTTCCACCCACTGTGCAGTTTTGGCTGTTCTTACCCACCTTTGGGGATTGTCACTTCTTTAGGATTCTCAATAATATCATTTTAAAAAGTCCACCTGGGTGAAAGGATCCCCTTCGAAAAGATTCCACAGGTGAACAGGGAACACCAGAATTCCTGAGACACAATTAGATGATTTACTGTTATAGGACAGCCCAAAATATCAATTTTCGTTTGGACAGTTGTAAGTACTGTCCACTGGTACAGACTTTTCACCTGCACATGCCTAATCCACACCTTCATTTCAGCTGTCTAGGCATTTGATGCCAAAATGTGCCATTTATAAAAGCTATGAACAATACACAAGCTAGAATGTGGGCACATTGCCATGCTTAATCTCCTCATCCCCTGGGATTTATATAGTTTAGGGAATCAAGAGCAGATGCAAAGGGAGGTAACATTAAAAATTCTCATTTACAAAAACATTCTCATTTATAGTATTACCATCTGTGATGGAGCACTGAAAGTCTTCAGTCAAGCTAGTGATACAACTAAAATGTAAGTAAGCCCCAACAATGAACTGTTCTAAATTATATGTATGAAAATAGACTATTAAAAAAATGATTTGTTTTAACTGTTTATTTCCTAGGCTCTCTGTCTGTGCTGCACATTTATCAGTTATATTGTTACTAGCTACTGTATATCCATGAACTACAAAACAGGTCTTGAACATTATGGAGAAGACAAGAGGGTTGTAGCCCTGCTCTTTAGTGAAATTCAGGACGTGAAGGGAGAGAGAATTATCTGCTCTTAGTGAAGACGGCTGCACATAAACAACCAAAGGGTACACAAAGAAATAAAACTCCAAATTGAAAAGTTAATATGCAATTTTGATGTACATTTCATGCGTTTAAAAATGCCTTTATTATATTTCTCACGATCCGGGTGAAGGTCCACTTTAAGGCCTGTCAGACGCTAGACTTGTACAACAAATTGCTTTAGTATGCAAATAAGCCATTATTTGCGATGTTCTGTAAGAAATAAAGCCAAGAGCTACAGAAGGCACCAATCTTTTATTACTGCAGAAAGACGTACTGTACCCAATAAAAGAAACATCACTGCTGTAATAATCAAGGCAACCTGGAATTTAGCAATGCCATGATTAAAGTCTCATATAAATGCCATAAATGGACCTCATATTCTGCACAGATTTTCCTACTTCCCTTGTATAGTAATCCCAGGCTGTTATAAACCATGAACTGGAGAACTTATGCGGTTTTTAAAATTACAACTTCAGGATTCCCGAAACATTTTTGTCCAGACTTTCCTTTCTAGCTGAGCATTGTCGAGCTCTGATGAAAGGGGCTCCAAAATGTGTTGCCTGTTTAAATGATTACTGTGGCAGAAACTATATCTGGACTGTCAACAATACCTTGGTACTATCTTTACCTTACCAGCAGTCAAAAATTAATTTTGTATGGAGTTACTCTTAACAGGAAACAATGTGACTAAATAATGGTCTCCTCCTGCTATGCACCTGTCAAAAAACCCTGGTGCCTTTACTTATCATTCTGATCATTGCTGTGAATCCCAAAACTCACCATTCGTGAAATGCAATTCTCAAACACACCCCTAGGAATGCCCCTTGTCTCTAGTGAATGGCTACTCAAGCACACTCTATGCCTTTCACCTGGAAGTAACAGAATTTCAAGGTTGCTGTGGCAAAGATTAGGGAGACAGAAGTGGAGGTTAGAAGTAGAGAGCACCAGAGGGTGTAGAACTCTGTTTGAGAGGTTTTATTTAATGATGTTGAGTAAATAAAACCTATAAAGATCAGAAACATGGGAATGCCACTGTTGAATTGGGTTTAAAGGTGCAAGCATCCAGCCATCATCCTGATCCTTGTTTTACTCTCAAGTGATTCACTGACCTCAGACACATGCACAGAATGAAAATTCTAAATTTGCAAACTAAAGCAGGCCATACATGGGTCGAATTCCGAACGATTTCTTGATCGAAAATCGAAAAAGTCATGCGTTCTACCACCAATGATTTTGAAAATCGCTCGTTTGCATGCCCGATAAACGAAATGGGGAGGAACTATGAAAATCGGCCGGTGCCACTGCCCCACTAACAGCGAAAATCAGCTGATTATTCTTGGGTCCAATTTTCTAACGAAAAATCGTTCAAAAATCCACCCATGTATGGCCGGCCTTAATTGGCTGCAAACTCCGGAGCCAATAAAAAATGTAATAAACAATAAATCTCACAGGTTGCCTTTGTATGGCGAATGAAAGCTTCTGCTTAAAAATTGCAATCGACTCAGGCTCATGCCCATTGGGCATTTCGTGCCAGTGCATGAGATCCCAGCATTTTCAGGCCAGTGGAAAGCACAGACACATAGTCCAGCCCCACTTCCGGCAGCCTGTAAAACTATTTGGGAGGCTGAAAGCTGCTGCAGCTGGATGGTGCACTGTGTGGCACTGATGTTAAGGGACTAATGCCTGAAATGCAAGCAGTCTGCTGAAGTTCTTGGGCTTTTGTCCCCGTTTTACAGTCTGCCCGTAGTGAAGCTGGACAACATACCCACAGCAGAATACCAGAATGTCTTACACTGGGGCTAAACTTCCAGTGTGCATGAGAAAATAATTATTCCCTGCAGGGGAAAATTCTACAAGAGTGATGCGTTGGAAAAGTACATCTAACCTCATATTTATTTTCATATGTCACCATAAACTTTTAACAAACGTAAGGGCAGCAAAAAACAGACTACTAAGAAAGAAAAATGCAGTTTGGCTAGTGAATAAACACCTCATTAGAGCAAACAATATGTGTCCTCCATACCTGACCCATCTGCAGTGACTGAGCTTGCATTAATCCCAGACAGACCAAACAGTGGACATTCTCTGTCTGTGTTCACATGACCCCACTTGTGGCATTTAATACACCGGACGTTGCGAACCTGAAAAAATATAAAAAAATGACGGATGGATTATATAGCAGATTTAAAAAATTTTTTTCTTAAAGTGTTACTAAACCTAGGACCCTGCATTCACTATATCTGGTCTCCCACAGTACACAGAACATGGAAATGCAATTATTTTAGTAAATATAAACTGCTAAATACCTTTTCTAATCATAAGTCAGAGCAGTCTTCTGACTTCTATCAGTGTTCAACCAAGCACTAGCTAAAGCTTGTAGGAAGTTTTCATTCTGGAGGAGGATGCAAAACCCTTGACCCTTGTGTGACCAGTGCAGATTGGCCCTGTGCTGATCACATGCACTCTACCAAAAAAAAAAAAAAAAAAAAAAAAAAAACTCTCTAGCAATACACACCTAACTAAGCATGTGCAAAATGCCTACAGTTCAGTCTGTCTTATCAGGAGATAAGAGGTGGTCGCTTAAACAAGGGGAAGAACAGAGCAATCAGGATCAAACAGCCTTTTTACACAATTCAGAGTATTAACCCCTTAAGTTAATCGGTGAGTATAACAAGCATGCTTTACTGCATATACAGGCTGATTTTACGGTTGTGGGTTTAATAACACTTTACATTTTTCTTGCCTCTTTCAAACTGCATCAAAATGATCCTGACTTGCAGTATCGGTGCCTGCCAACACTGCTGTCATCGGTCTTGCCCTGTGTTTCCAAACCCCACTTTCTCTGAATTCCCTGCTTTGTGTACTTTACCATGTTGCTCTTAGCAATCAAAATGTTACGTGGGTGTGAGATCAAGCTCAGGTAACACCAGCACTGTAATGTAGGACTCACCAGATATAAAGACCCTTGGCTCATTAGAATTGATTAAACAATTTTGACTACAATGCTAAAAACAAAAGCTTCATTTACACGGGTGCTGAGGCCCACACACTATGAATGTGCAGTGTGTTTATGCAGCTTGAACTGTCAGGTGCTGCATGCAGGCAGACCGGGGAAATCTAATGGGGATGCAGCCACTTGTACTAATTTGGCAGACATGTAGGTGCAGATGAGTGGCCCTAAACACAGATGTGATTAAGGATATTATTATACAGGATTTATATAGTGCCAACAGTTTGCTCAGCGCTTTACAATATGACGGGAGACAATACAGCAACAATACAGTCATACAAGAGGGATAGAAGGGCCCTGCTCCTTGCAGCTTACAATCTAGGATGACAGCTCTCTCATCTGTGACTATTCACCAGAAAACACACTGCAGAACATTGCGACATTTCAAGTGACCAGAAGAGGCCAGACCGTGCTCCAAATACCACAACAAACAACTGTATTATTCTGCCACACAAGTGACTACACAGGGTCTTTCTTGAAGCTGTCAAAAAAATACACAAAATGATGACTCTTACCTGTATGCCAAAGGGCTGATCTCTGATATTCATGTCATCTTTAGCATACCTGTAATAAAAAAATAAAGAAATAAATGCCTACCTGTAGAGAACAGTAAATATTCTAACCTTGATTAACAATTTGCAGTGTACTAAAAGCTACATAAGAGCCTGCAAATCTTTGAAAGTATCCAGTATCCACACTGGTGCACCTAATGCATGCTACGGTTCCTCGAGCTAGTTCGTAGTTCACAATAGGATGCACGAGCCGGTGGGGAAGAACTATAGTATGCAGTAAAGAAGGGATAAGTAATTGACAAATACAGATGTGCTGAACGCAGCAGTGGCGTCTGAAGGCCAGGATAAACTTTACATGTTCTCTTTTACAGGGTTGGCTTTGTTTACAACTGATCCGGTGGTAACAGGGTCACCTTAAAGAAATTTGTGCGTGACTATTGCTGAACTAAAAATGCTATCTGCCTGACTCTCTCTTGCTTCAATCCTTTTCCGAGTCACAAAGCACAAGCGTGAACAAGTGAAGTCAGTCCTAATCTGTATACTTTTTGGCCACTAACTCAAAAAATACTGAAGGGGGGGGGGGGGGGGGGGGGGGGGGTCATAACTGTCAATCTATTTTCTCTTTATTCTCTTACATATTCTAAAGCAATCAATATTAGATAACTTAAATGATAGGAAAGAGATTGTGTTAATTCAAAATGCTTGTGTTTTGAAAGCATTGTACCTTCTACCTGTGAATCATCCTAAAAACAGTCAAATAGAACTAAAGGAAATTGAGTTCTGATTAGCTGTAAATGCTCCCACAAAGGAAAATCAAACCTATCACTGCTTGTAGTAAATTTAAAGGATAAACGCACTTTAATCCGTTTTCTGCATCTGCCCTCTTGTCTCTTTATGCAAACCCTCCTTAAATCCCTATACCTGCCCAAGGAGGTGCATCTTGTGCTCTATTCTGACTGAATCTAGAGCACAGACCAGGTAATGTGTAATATTGTGGTGCTGCGCTAGTAAATGCACTGTTAATAATAAGTCACAATGTGAATATAAATACAGTGGTACCTTGACCTACGAGTGAATTAATGTACGAGTTTTCTGAGGTACGAGTTGTCACTCAGTCAATTTTTTACTTTGTTACACAAGCAAAAAAATTGAGGTACGAGCTCAAGACGCCGCTGCTAGATGGTATAGTGAGCAGTGACGCCACAGCATCCCCCAGCCTCCAACACGCTCTCTCGTTCTCTTCACCTCCTAGAGTAAACACTGTGATTCGTTGTACTCGTGGTTACTTGCTTTGTGCTTCGTATTTTGTGCGAAATCCTTCTAACTTTCTTATAACCATGTCTCCCAAGAAAGTAAGTGCTAGTGACAATGCTGAGAAGAAGAGGATGATGTCCATTGAATTAAAGTGTGAAATTATCGAGAAACATGAACAGGAACGGATTAAGGGCATTTTAATTATTTTCAATAGGGAAAATTGATTTGATGTGCGAGCAAATGGAGCTACAAGCTCGGCCACGGAACAAATTAAACTCGAATGTCAAGGTACCACTGTAGTGAACAATAAACCCCCTATGAAAACAATTCCTGAGTATCTATGAGACTAAATAAATAGCATATGTAAAAATACGACCAATAAGGCCCCGAAAAAAGACAGAAAAAAAAAAAACCAAAAAAAAAACAACACCTCCCCTTATTGGGCTAGAATTAGCCACACAGGAGTAAATAAATGAAAAAAAATTATAAATAAAAATGTATATATGCATATATGCAATAAGTGCCGTGATAATGAATATAAAACCATATATAACAGTACTAGTATATAAATAAAATAGAGTGACACAAAACGCATGTATATATTCTACATTCCCAAGATCAACTAGTGTATAAAGAAAATAACAGTGATCCCAATGGGGGATGAAAAGCAAAGTGAATCTGTGACACCACAAATTGTGGTAAACGTGAAAAAAGAAAAGGGAGTATAGGCTAAACGCCTGTGAATAACAAACAATCACTGAATAAATATGTGACCCCCCCCTACCCCCACCAGGGATAGGTGCAAATGTGTGCCAATACACTAAAGTGAACAGAAAAAAATAGGCTGTGTTGCCTATAAATAATGAAGTGATGAGTGACCCTAAATGGGGGGTTCTAAAATAACATGTGAATATGTGACACCAAAAGTGCCTCACGCTGTCCATAAAGCCCCATACATAAATCCTCAGTGGATAAACCACCAACCAACATGAACTAAAAAAGTCCAAAACCATGAAATGGTAGAGTGTCCTAAATAATAATCGCAAACGTGAAATAAATGGCCAATTAACTAAAAAGTCCAGAACAATCCAAATGATGGAGGTGTTGCATAGTCCTGTAATCAATGAGAACATGAAACAGGATACTGTGAATCCCACACTAGGTGCAATGGCCCCTCACCTCCATGCGGTGACCCTACAGGGTCAAAACGCCTTTCGGTAACAAACACCACCGGTCTGGAACCCGGACCCTCTCCAAAGGATGCAAGGTCCACCTCTGTGTCAGTTTCCCTCACTGGTGGGCAAGGTCCCACACATAGCCTCCTCAAAGTGGTCCTGGAAGTAATTGCTACTCATATGGCCAAAGAGAATAAAAGATGCTCCCACAGTGTATTAAAGTTTAATAACTCAAATAGTAAAAAAAGGTACCGGTGGTGTTTGTTATCAAAAGGTGTTTTGACAACGCAGGTTTTCTTACATGGAGGCCGTTATTGCTTGCTTCTCAGTCCTCAAATGCTACTTGTCGGACTGCAATGACAATCTTCTGCATTTAATACTCTCATATATACATACATATACACGCACACACACACACTATATTGCCAAAAGTATTGGGACATCCCTCCAAATCATTGATTTCAGGTGTTCCAATCACCTCCATGGCCACAAGTGTATAAAATAAAAGGCATGCAGACTGCTTCTACAAACATTTGTGAAAGAACGGGTCGCTCTCAGGAGCTCAGTGAATTCAAGCGTGGTACTGTGATAGGTTGTCACCTGTGCAATAAGTCCATCCATGAAATTTCCTTGCTACTAAATATCCCACCGTCAACTGTTCGTGGTATTATAACAAAGTGGAAGCAACTGGGAACAACAGCAAAACTGCCATGAAGTGGTAGGCCACGTAAAATGACAGAGCGGGGTCAGCACATGCTGAAGCGCACAGAAGTCGCCAACTGTCTGCACAGTCAATAGCTAAAGACCTCCAAACTTTATGTGGCCTCCAGATTAGCACAACAACAGTGCGTGGAGAGATTTATGGAATGGGTTTCCATGGCCAAGCAGCTGCATCCAAGCCTTACATCATCAAGTGCAATGCAAATCATAAGATGCAGTGGTGTAAAGCATGCCACCACTGGACTCTAGAGCAGTGGAGACGTGTTCTCTGGAGTGATGAATTGCACTTCTCTGTCTGGCAATCCGATGGACGTGTCTGGGTTTGGCAGTTGCCAGAAGAATGGTACTTGCCTGACTGCACTGTGCCAAATATAAAGTTAGGTGGAGGGGGATTATGGTGTGGGGTTGTTTTTCAGGGGTTGGGCTTGGCCCCTTAGTTTCAGTGAAGGGAACTCTTAAGGGGGCAGCATACCAAGACATTTTGGCCAATTTCATGCTCCTAACTTTGTGGGAAGAGTTTGGGGATGGCCCTATCCTGTTCCAACGTGACTGCGCACCAGTGTACAAAGCAAGGTCCATACAGACATGGATGAGCGAGTCTGGAGTGGAGGAACTGGACTGGCCTGAACAAAGCCCTGACCTCAACCCAAGAGAACAGCTTTGGGATGAATTAGAGAGGAAACTGCAAACCAGGCCTTCTCGTCCGACATCAGTAGCTGACCTCACAAATGCACTTCTGGAAGAATGGTCAAACATTCCCATAGACACACTGCTAAACCTCCTAGAAGAACTGAAGCTGTTATAGCTGCAAAGGGCGGGCCAACTCAATATTGAACCCTACGGACTAAGAATGGGATACCATTAAAGTTCACGTGTGTGAAGGCAGGCCGACCAATACTTTTGTCAATATAGTAGTGTATATAAGATTAGGACTTCTGAATTTTCTGTAACTTTACAACAGTACAGCTTCTGTGTATCTTGACCTCTCATGCAGATACTGCAAGTCTTCTCCTCCAGCAATCAGCTTCCCTGTACAGATTCACACAGGAAAGCCTTACTTTGAGTCCATTCAAAGTTCTAATTTTTAACTGAATCCCTGATGAAGGGGGAGTTCCTTTGACCCCCGAAATGTGTTGGCTATCTTTTAGAACAATACCAATACATCAATTTGGACACTCCTTCCATGTATGCACTTTTTTCTGGCTTCTGTGTATCACACTTTGCTGGTTTTCTGTGTAGAAAAAATTTGTTAAATTAAAGCCAGATGAAAACTTCCTTACTTTTCTCGAGGGGCCATCTTCTGCCATTCAAATTTGTATTCAGTTGTCTCTCCTTCCTGTGAACGGAGGAAAGACAGAGAAAAAAAAAAAAAAAAAAAAAAAAATCACATGCAAATGTATTACTATTGACATAAAGTAATAGTGGACAAAAAATGTTTACAGGCTAACTCCACCTTTAAGAATACGTTAACATGGTACACTCATATGCAGGGTGTAACATGGTGGCAAGCCGAACCGCCCCACCTCCAAATTCACCACAGACCCCCCCCCCCCCCCAATCCGACAACATGCGGGTGTTCTCCCCGGCGTAATTGGCAGCTGTAAATTTTGCATGGCTGTGCTGGAGGAAGCGTCTGCAGGAGCCACTGACAGCAGTTACAAAGCTTTACATGCTCATTTGAAAAAATGAATGAATGCACATTTTTTTCCTGCACTTTTTTTTTTTTTTTTCCAAAAGGTGGATTTAACCTTCAAACCTAAATTCATTGCTTGCCCTTTTTTATATTGCCAGTTTTCTTAATATAATGTATATTCAGTTTGTTGGGTGATTCCATACACTTTTTTTTTTTTTTAAATGGTCTGTAGTCAATGTGACCTCCTATACTTATGTAAATGGCTCATTTACACCAGCAATCTTAAAGTGTTACTAAACCGAGGACCCTACGTTCACTATATTTGGTCTCCCAAAGTACACAGAACATAGAACTGCAATTATTTTAGTAAGTATAAATTGCTAAATACCTTTTCTCATCAGCAGTTACAGCAGTCCTGTGACTTCTATCAGTGTCCAGCTGAGCACTGGTTAATGCTTGAGGAGTTTTCGTTTTGCTCTAGGAGGATGCAGAACCCCTGACCTCTGTCTGGACAGTGCTGATTGGCACTGTGCTGATCACATGCACTCTCCCAAGAAAAAAAAACTTCTCTAGCAATACACACCAAACTGATCATGTGCGGAGCGACTCCGCAGGATATGTCTCATCAGAAGATAAGAGGTGTAAACTGGAAGAAGGGGAGGATCAGAGAAGTCAGGATCAAACCATGTCTTTACACAATGCAGAGGAATAACCTTTTAGGTTCCACAGCGAGTATAAACAAGCATTCATTTCTGCATATACAGACTGATTCTACGGTTGTGGGTTTAGTAACATTTTAAGCTAGCCATACACTGTTCCAATTTGGCTGCTCCAGGAGAGACCTGAAGAATTTTGATCAGTGCATGGCCTCCTCCTCTTGACAGAAATTGATTATTTATTGACTTCTTTCAAAAGGGACATGTTGGCAAATTTTTGGACAATCAGTGGCTGCAGCCAATCAGTTGTAGGTGCTCATGTCAGAATGCAAATGTCCCATCGGGGTGATTCCTCCATCCACCTTCTGGATCCTCTTGAATGAAAAAAAAAATAAAAATTATATATCTCTCTCTCTCTCTCCATCCACCTATGGCCAGCCTAATATGCAGATTTTACAGGCTACCTGAATAATGGAAAAGAGCAGGTATAGAATTTACAAACACATCAAAAGGAAATAATGAGACAACTGGCCATAATAACTACATTTTCACTAGCACCTAAAGTGAGAAAAATGAAATGGATACTATAGGATACAGAGATGAGTCTTTTCCACCTAGTCATGCCTAGACCCTAAAAGCTCTGCACATTCTGTAATCCAACAGTGACACCAAGAGGTTACAGTGAGGATCTGCAACCCAAATGAACCATCATTGACACCTGGTGCTCCATCATGAGTGCTATACAGGAATAGGGCAACATTACTTTGATTACATTGCTACATGTGGGAGTGGTGTAAGAATGTGTTTTCCAAGTTAATGTTCCATCACAGGTTTACTTTCATAATATCGATGAAACCAGAGTCACAAATTATCTAAGTATCTTATTATAAAATAAATGCCAATTGTCTAAATACAGAATAGAAAAGTACCCGGTACACTACCGGTAACGGTGTTTCTGGGAAATCTTCCAGGACAGCACACCTGAGAGATGACTAGCTCCACCTGACAGGAAACACAATCAAAAATTGACAGTTTAAATTCCCCGCGCTTCCCTCCACTCCTCAGTTTATGCAAGAGTATTCCTGCACCCCGGTGCATGAAAGGTATTCTACCTCAGGTTAATCAACACCAGATATGATTGGAAAGTAGGCCTGCCATCCTGGATGATTTCCCAGAAACACCGTTACTGGTAAGTGTAACTGGTACTTTTCTCCAGTCATCTTCCAGGATGGCACACCTGAGACAATAAGCAAGGAACTCAGCCCTACCATAGCGCGGGACTACTGCCTGTAATACCCTTCTGCCAAACTCCAAGTCCTGTGGTGAACAGCTCTACTCTGTAGTGTCTCACGAAGGTGTCCTGACTTGTCCATGTGGCTGCTTGGCAGATCTGTTCAATCAATGCTCTGGCCCTCTCCAACCAAGAGATTGTCAGCGATCTAGTAGAGTGAGCCCTCAGGTGTGAGGGAACTGAAACCCCTAAATGCTCATAAGCAAAAGGAGATGGCTTGTCTGATCCTTCTAGCTATTGTCAGTTTAGATGCTTGCTGACCCTTCCTCGGACCGCTAAGCAAAATACAAAAGGTTACTCTATTTAAATAAGTCAGCAAACACCTTCTGACATCTAAAAAAAAAAAAAAATCTCTTTTCATTCTTAGGGTTTTGACAAAAAGACAGTAGGACAATCTCGTGTCTTGTGAAAATGCAATGCCACCTTGGGCAAATAAAGGGGATCCTGTCTAAGCAATAACCTGTCCTCCAATACTACCAGGAAGCGTTCCTTGATCGACAGGCTCTGAAGGTTACCTATCCTCCTTGCCGTTGTGATGGCAAACAGAAAGACTAAAAGATAATATCCTGAAATCTGTGCCACTGGCTCAAATGGTGCCTGGTAACTGTTCTAACACCAGGAAAACTATGCATCTTAATAGGGGCCAGGGAAATAGGGGTCACTTTTTCCCTGGCCCCAGAAACCTCTTAACTAGAGGCTCTGATGCAAGTCTCTGGTCCAAATAGACCGATAAGGCCACCACTTGCACCTTTAGGGTGTTAACCGCTATTCCTTTATCCACTCCTACCTGGAGAAAGTCTAAGATCACAGGGACCATGGGAAGAGAAACCCCCTTTTCTTGGCACAAACTAGCAAAACACACCCACACCCTGGCTTATATCTTTCTAGTCACCTGTTTCCTACTGAGGAGAAGAGTGTCTATGACCTTCTCGGAACACCCCCCTTCTCCTAAGGATCTCCCTTTCAAGAGCCAGGCCGTTAACTGAAAAAACTCTGGATTGGGGTGCAGTGTTGGCCACCGCAAGAGAAGATCTTTCCTGACTGGGCGACGCTGTAGGGGAGCCATGGACCACCTATTTAAAGTGGCGAACTAGGCTCTTCTCAGCCACCATGGGGCTAGCAGGATCAATCTGCAACTTGACCGGCTCAACTTCTGTAGCACTCGCGGAATCAATGCCAGAGGGGGAAATGGATATGCCAGCTCGAAGTCCCATTCCTGCCTAATGCGCCCAGACCTTTGGACCCCTGTTCATAGGCCATGGAGAAATAATGCCTCACTTTCCTATTATTACTGCAGGCAGGCAAAAAGGTCTATTTCTGGGTTGCCAAAAACCCGACTTAACTGCAAAAAGTCCTCGGGATCGAGTTCCCACTCTCCCCGTGGATTAACTATAGGTTGAGAAAGTCTGCTTTTGTGTTGGCCAAGCCCTTTATGAGTACCACAGACACCGAAAGGACTCTGCTCTCTGCCCATCCTAGAATCTCCTCAGCTAGGTCCAGGAGGTTCCAGGATCCGGTGCCCTCCTGATGATTCAGGTATGCTACGGTTGACACATTGTCCAACAGAACTTGGACTTCTTTTCCTCCAATCCTGTCTTCGAAGAACTTCAAGGCCTGACCTACTGCCAACTCCCTGTAATTGGAGGAGGTGCCCCTTAGGTGTGGCTTCCACAGGCCCTGAGCTTGTCGGTCCTCTAGATGAGCTCCCCAGCCCCACTGGCTTGTGTCTGCGGTTACCCGCACTGGGTCCTATCGTGCCCACAGACTTCCTCCCCCCCAGATTCTGGGGCTTGATTCACCATCTTAGCGAGTCTTGATAGCCTGCAGGAGTGACACCCTCTTGTCCAGATAACCCATCTTCCTGTCCCACGAGAATAGAAGAAAGACCTGAAGCTCCCTGGAATGTAGCTGCGCCCACTTCACAGCCGGTATACAGGCTGTCATGAGCCCTATGACTCTCATGATCTGCCTCCGGGAGCAATCTGGAGCAGTTATTAATCCAGAAGCGGCCCCCCCTACCTTGTCGATCTTTTATTTGGGTAAAAAGAGCCTCTGGACCCTGGAGTCCACTACGTACCCCAGGAACAGCTTGCTCTGGGAGGAGGGCTTTTCTCGATTGACAATCCACCCCAGAAATTCCAAGGTGAGGATCACTTTTTCCAAATCTCTCAGGACTTGCTGCTGTGAGGACCCGTAGATCAACAGGTTGTCTAGGTAAAGGATGAAGGAAATCCCCTGAGAGGTGTAAATATGCCACTACCTCAGCCAGGACTTTGGTTAAGATTCTCGGACTGGCCACCAGCCCAAACGGAAGGGCTCGGAACCGCCAACGACTGACCACCTTCTCTGTGAATATAGCGAACCGTAAGGCTTGGTATTGCAGGGCAATGGGAACATGGAGTTAGGTGTCCCTGAGGTCCACAGTGGCCATAAACAGTTTGTTTACAGTGTACACAAACTTCTACTCACTCTCCATACAAAACCTTTTGTACCGCAGGAACCCATTCAACCTCTTTTAGGTTTATGATCAATCGGAATTTCCCTGAAGGCTTCGCGACCACGAAGACATGGGAATAAAATCCCCGGGAAAAGCTGGTCCGTTGGCACTGGGACAATTACCTCTTGATCTGCTAGATCCCTGATCCCTCCCAAGAGACCCACTGCCTTTGCCCTGTCTCTGGGGGGTAAGTTAACACAAAGGCATGAGGTGGAGTGAAGAGAACTCCAGTTGATACTCCTTTATCAACTGCAGGATATACAGGCTCTCCGAAATATTCCCCCACTGCTGTAAGTTTTTGTTGGCTCTGATTAAGGGAGGCTCGAAAAACCTTTTTACCCTTACCCTTCTTAGTCTTGATGAGGAAATTCGTTCCCTTTTCAGTTGGACCTGGTCCAGCCCTGAGTCAAGCAGTAAGGAACCCTCAAAAGGCAGACCGCAGAGCCAGGCTCTTGATGTGTGATTGCCCTCCCAGGCCTTAACCCACACCACCCTCTGGGCTGAGTTGATAAGTGCTGCCATCTTAGCTGATGTCTTGACCATCTCTACTGCTAAATAGGCGACTGCCTTACTGACCACTTCCAGGAATTCTAACACCTCTTCTGTCTGGGCTTCTCCCTTTTTCTTGGAACCCCGAGAGACATGTTCAATTACTCTATGCATCAGTATTCCTTTGATGCAAGCGGATGCCAAGGCTAGAGCCATAGTAGCTGCGTTAGCCTCCCAGGCTCTATGCAATAGTGTCTCAGACCTACGGTCCATCTGATTCTTGATGCTACCCGAGTCCTCAAAGGACAGGTCTAAGTTTTTAAACACTTGTGATAGCGCCGCGATTAATCTGGTGGTCTTGAAGAATTTCTCTTCCACCTCTTCCTCAAAGGGGCACCGTCTTTTCCAGGTCTCCAATTTTAAGACTCTCCGCTCAGGATCTTTCCATTCTCTAAAGAAAATATCTTTGAGAGCTTGGTGTACAGGTAGTACCCTAGTTTGTGGCTTCACCAACCCCCTATACATCTTATCTTGAGCGGTCTGTGTAGGTGGTTCTGGGATGTCCTCTGACGCATGAATAGCTCTTAGGAGCACCTCCATATCATCCACTGCAAAAAGGTGTCTACCTGGTCTACACTCCTCACTAGCCTTGCTATTACCTTCCAATTCTTCCCCCTCATCGAGGGAGCTTTGGTCAGAAACCTCAGCCTCCTCCAGATCTTTCGCCTCTGTGGCCTGTGAGGATGAGGGACCCAGTCCTCCTCTCTAGATGTCAGAGCCATCTTGAAGGATTATAAGGTGACTAACATCTCTGTTTGCACAGACAAAAACATTCTTCATAACTGCCGAGGTTTCTTTCCCTGATAACTTGTGCATACATTTGTAATAGAAGGGTCTGGCATGGTCTTTCAGAACTTTATCATTGCAATAATCACACAGTTTGGAACGGAGGGGGTACCTTCTTCTCTCTTGGGCAGTTCCGCATGGCTCTAGGGCTCTAGGGAAGGAAAAACAAGGGGCCCAATTAAATGGTATTCTCTCCCCCCCAGGCACACCTGAATGGGAGTGGGTAAGGACCTACCTCCCCTCCTCTCCCCTCACCAGCCGTGTCAGACTCACCGCCTGTGACATTCTCACTGGCTGCAGCCACTGTCTTCTCTTCCATCCTTAGCAGGGCTGTTTGGGTCTGCGTTGCCTTCGCCGAGCTCCTGGGTCCATTCCCAGGGGTAATTTCTGGAGGCTCCTAACCGGCCTAAGGAAAGAAAACTGCTGACCGTCGCTGCCATCTTTAGGGCGGAAGTCCCACCCTTGCCAGAAGTGTACTGAGAACGAGGCTTGGATCGCAGTCCTGCTCCTACTTCTGGTCCTGCGCCCCCGGCCCTGGGCTCTCTCCCTCTGCCCACCTGTGCTTCTGGCAGACTAGACGCTGACTCCATCTCGGCCGCCCCGTCACTCTACAGGGGTGCACCATGTAAATATGTGCCGGCCAGCAATCCCCCATACCCGTGAGAGCCATCTCGCAGCCCGGTCCTCTCCTGGACAAACCTCCCTGCTCCCCCCGGAAGAGGGAGGAAGGACGCTTGTCCCAGAAATTCCAGGAACACCTACCCGGTGCCTGGGAAGTTCCCCAGCATTGGGAACCCCTGGAGTGAGTAAGTGACCCCAGCTTCAGCCTGCCCTCTCTGGCTCAGCTGTTCACCCCCCACCTTCAGGGGGGACCTTCCAGCCCCTGGCATTTAGTCTGAAGAAAATAACAAATGTTTCGCTGCAGAGGCAAACACAACCAGAAAACTGAGGAGTGGAGGGAAGGGTGGGGAATTTAAACTCTGTCAATTTTTGACTGTGTTTCCTGTCAGGTGGAGCTAGTCATCTCTCAGGTGTGCCATACTGGAAGATTACTGGAGAAAACAGTTATTTAATAAAGTGTTTTTAAGGCCCTGCTGATCGTGGTGATGGAATGCAACTTTACAAAAAGGTACAGTAAGCTCCACTGTACGTGAAATGCTTTGCTTACCTCTTTTATTTCTTTATTGATGACCCATGTGGAGGAGGGAAGACAAAAGAAAAAGAACAATTAGAATTTAGGAAGACAACAGACGAAAAAAAAAAAAAAAAAAAAAAAATGTATTGCTTACATTTCACCCTCATCAATTTTCAGAATTAAAATAAAATTATAAAATTACCTAATTTAACTTTTTGCTTCATTTGGCCCTGGTTCACATTGATACGGTTTTTTTTGAATCGCATGACATGGTAAATAAAATGTTTTCCTATGGAGGGCGTTGACATATATGCAGTCCACATGCACTGTGTTTTGAAAAAGGGTCCTGTGCATGTTTGCAGTGCTATCCAATTTTGAGCTTGATAGCACCTGTATGAAATGCATTGGGATTCACAGTCAAAATGTATCTTAATTGCATTGCAGGTGCTACTTGTATCCCACTTGAAATCTGAATAAACTTGCACTGCTTCAGGGTGAACCTAGCCTTAATTTTTACTGTGTAGTCACTTCCTGGACACATTAGCTCTTGCCCCGATTGTTCAGACAGTCCTTATGGTGAGAGACCGTTTTGTGGCTGGGAAATGTAACTGCAGGCATGTTTTAAAGTTTAGTTGACAGATTCACTTTAAAGCGTTTGTAAACTGACATGCACCTGTGTCCAAACCAATGGAAGAAACGTCCACACATATCCAAACAGCAAGCACAGAATATTTAAAGCGGAGTTCCACCCAAAAGGGGAAGTTCCGCTTTAAGCCTTTGCGTTCCGCTCCTCATTAAGGATTCGCACCATTGTAGAGGGGGTACCCGAATTTGACAGGTACCCGCTCCCACTTCTGCTGCGATCGCCTAGGTGATCGGAATTTGTCACCCCTGGGACACGTAACGGATCCCAGACTACTACAGGGCCATTCACAAAGCGCAGTGCTTCTCACGCATGCGTAGTGGGCACCTGGTTGCGAAGCCGCAAGCTGTCACAGCTGGGTGCCCACACTGAAGATGCCGGTGCCGGGGAGAGAAGACGGCTGGTGAAACCAGCCATGGGGAAGAGGCCGCTGGACCGAGGGACAGGTAAGTGCCTGCATTTTAAATCTCAACAGCTACAGTTTGACTTTTTTTTTTTTTTTTTTTGCAGCTGGAACCCTGCTTTAAAATTGCTCCTAAATAACATTCTTTCTTGTGTGTTTTTTTTTTAAAGATTATATGGAAATTGTTATGCACAGTATGACCTTTTCCATTAGCCTACAGGGCACTTATACCCCCTTCCTGCCCAGCGCTGTTGCACTTTGAATGACAATTGCGCGGTCATGCAACACTGTACCCATATGAATTTTGTATCTTTTTTTGTGACAGATAGAGCTTTATTTTGGTGATATTTAATCACCTCTGGGTTTTTTATTTTTTCTTAAACCAAAAACCACTGAAAATTTTTGGAAAGAAAAAAACGTTTTTTTTTCTTAGTTTTTGTTATAAAATTTTGTAAATAAGTGATTTTTCTCCTTTACTGATGTGCGCTAATGAGGCTGCAGTGATGGGCACCGATAGGCTGCACTGATGGACACTGATAGGTGGCACTGCTGAGGAGGCACTGGTAGGTGGCACTGATGGGCATTGACAGGCATCACTGATGGGCACTGAAAGGCAGCACTCATATATGGCACTGATGCACACGGATAGGCAGCTCAGATATGTGGCATTGATGTGGCACTGAAATGTGGCACTGATGGGCACTGGCATGGATGAGCACTGAGAGCTGGCACTGATGGACACTGACAGGTGGCACTGCTGGGGCTACACAGATCATCAGGGCACACTGATCATCAGTGCTCTGATGATCTGTGTACATGTCCCCTCCGAGGAATGCCAATTACCGGCTCGCCTCTCCTCACGAGCTGTCAGTGTGACAGCTCCTCGGGAGAGAAATGCCGATAACCAGCATTTCCCTGTTTACATGTGATCAGCTGTGATTGGACACAGCTGATCACGACCGAGCCAACATCTTTGGCTCTTTCCGTGGATCAGTGATCCGCTCTGTCCGAGGGACACAGCGCACTGCCGATCGCTGCACTGCACACTCCGGGAGCCGCACATGCATGGTTAGAATGGGAGGACGTCATATGAAAAAAAAAAAAAAAAAAAAAAGCAACTTGAATATTCTACAGAATTTATTTAAAGAATTTGGTTAAAAATCATTATCAGTAATTTACCCTTTTCAGCTCCTGGTGGTGCTTCATACATGAAATTCAACCCACTCTTTACCTTTTCATCACCCAAAAGTAACCTGTTGAGATGAGAAAAAAAAATTAAGTAGAAAATCAAAATACATACACAGTGACCGACGTACACTAGATGTAGTCTAGATCCCTAAGTGGATGTTATCTGTAGCCTGGCATTTCGGCAATCCAGGGATAATATTTTTCAGGTTACAAGGAATAGGATTACTGCATTTTTTTCTGTGATAACAATTAAATCAGCACAACTTTTTCCACTTGTGTATTACAGCGTTTAGTAGTTCATTGGCAGATATATTGATAGTCCAGTGTATTGAGTGTATATGATACATAATTGACTTGATGGCCATGAGCTGTCCAGGTCCTGAAGCAGCAAAGCAACTCCAAACCATAACATTACCACCAACTATCTTTGATTGATCAGTCCACAGTCCATTGTTCCAGAAGACCAGGTCTTTGCAAATATGTTCAATGGCAAACTGTAATCTTGCTATAATGTTCTTTTTGGAGAGCAAAGGCCTTTTTTCTCATGCCGGTTGAATCAGTGCAATCAATTTCTGACTTTAACCCCAGCTGTTGCAAGTTACCTGAACATCTTGCAATTAAATTCTGGGGTTATCTGAGAATTTGCTGCACCAGCCAGTCCTGGATGAATTAGCAGGTTTTTTTTTTAAGCTACGTCATTTGTAGATTTATTTCCTTACAGTGGAATAATGGGTTTCAGATCATTTGGCAATCTTTTTAAGTCCCTACCAGACTGGCATGCATTCACAATTGTTTTCTGAGGGCCTTTAAGAGCTCTTTTGATCTTGGCATGATGACACCACAATAGCAAAGAAACCACCGGACTTTAGATGTCGGAGACCTACATAAGACAGGTTCCACCTGCATTCTCCCCAATGGGGTTTCAAAGCGATTGTAAATCTATGATTTTAATTTTTTTTTTAAATAACAAATATGTCAAGCATGTCAAAACCATTGCAGAGAGAAGCCCTGATCCTCCTCTTCTCAGGTCCCATGCTGATGCTCCTGGATGCCCGCCTTCCACGCATGAATGCCCCCATAACAAGCCACGTGAATATTTCAACATCGAGCTCAAATAAGTATTGGGGGGACAGGGGACAGGTGAGAGAGCAGGCCACAGAATGCATTTAGGTGACAAACCTAACTTTACAACCGCTTTAAATATTGGCACCTAATCTGGAACATAAGGTTCTAATTTCATCAAATCTGAAGTGGTGGTAAATGTATAGGTGCACTTCCTTTTTCCGCATGACAGATTGTATTTTTATTCATTTAGATCAAGAGTCTCCAAACTTTATAAACAAAGGGCCACTTTACTGTTCTTCAAACTTTAGGGGGCCCAGACTGTGGCCAATGGCCTGGCATCAGTGGGAGTAAACAATACCCCATCATTGTATTAGCTGGAGGAATAGTGCCCCATTGTTAGTATCAATGAGGAAGTGATCATTGGTGTCAGTAAGAAGACTAGTGGCCCATCATTGGTGTCAGTAAGAAGACTAGTGCTCCATCATTGGTGTCAGTAAGAAGACTAGTGCTTCATCATTGGTGTCAGTAAGAAGACTAGTGCTTCATCATTGGTGTCAGTAAGAAGACTAGTGCTCCACCATTGGTGTCAGTAGGAGCAATAGCATACCATCACTGGTATCAATGGGAGGAATAGTGCCCCATTGTTGATGTCAGTGGGAGGAACAGTCTCCCATCATAGGTGTCAGTGGGAGGAACAGTCTCCCATCATTGGTATCAATGGGAGGAACAGTGCTTCACTGACAGTGTCAGAAACTATGCCCCACTGTTGCCCCCAAGGGCCAGATAAAAGCAAGCAAAGAGCCACATCTGTTCCGAGACCACCGATTTAGATCATTGAAATGAATACACCATGTCAATTTTATTTTATCTTTGCAATTTTTAATTTTATCTTTGCATTTGTCTGTTTGCATGGAGTTCATCTATAAAAAATACAGTTATCTATTAAGCGTAACGTGGAGTCATACAAATTATATATGTTTTCCCTGTGGACATTTACCCATTCTGTTTTGCAAAACAGATAAATGTAAATAGAGAGCCAGTTTTCCAGCATATGCAATACACTATACTGCCAAAAAGTATTGGTCGGCCTGCCTTTACATGCACATGAACTTTAATGGACTCCCAGTCGTAGTCCGTAGGGTTCAATATTGAGTTGGCCCCACCCTTTGCAGCTATTAACAGCTTCAACTCTTCTGGGAAGGCTGTCCACAAAGTTTAGGAGTGTCTATGGGAAGGTTTCACTATTCTTCCAGAAGTGCATTTGTGAGGTCAGGTACTGATGTCGGACGAGAAGGCCTGGCTTGCAGTCTGCTCCAATTCATCCCAAAGGTGTTCTATCGGGTTGAGATCAGTACTCTGTGCAGGACAGTCATGTTCCTCCACCCCAAACTCACTCATCCATGTCTTTATAGACCTTGCTTTGTGCACTGGTGTGCAGTCATGTTACAACAGGAAGGAGCCGTCCCCAAACTGTTCCCACAAAGTTGGGAACATGAAATTGTTCAAAATGTCTTAGTATGCTGACACCTTAAGAGTTCCCTTCATTGGAACTAAGGGGACAAGCTCAACCCCTGAAAACAACCCCACACCATAATCCCCCCTCCACCAAACGTTACACTTGGCACAATGCAGTCAGGCAAGTACCGTTCTCCTGGGAACAGCCAAACCAAGACATGTCCATTGGATAAACAGACAGAGAAGAGAGATTCGTCACTCCAGAGAACACATCTCCACTGATCTAGAGTCCAGTGGCGGAGTGCTTTACACCACTGCATCCAACACTTTGCATTGCACTTGGTGATGTAAGGCTTGGATGCAGCTGTTTGCCCATGGAACCGTATTTCATGAAGCTCTCTATACACTGTTGTGCTAATCTGAAGGCCACACGAAGTTTGGAGGTCTTTAGCTACTGACTCTGCAGACAGTTGGCGACTTCTGCACACTGTGCGCTTCAGCATGTGCTGACCCCGCTCTGTCATTTTACGTGTCCTACCACTTCATGGCTGAGTTGCTGTTGTTCCCAGTTGCTTCCACTTTGTTATAATACCACTAACAGTTGACTGTGGAATATTTAATAGCAAGGAAATGTCACAGATGGACTTATTGCACAGGTGGCAACCTATCACAGTACCACACTTGAATTCACTGAGCTCCTGAGAGCGACCCATTCTTTCACAAATGTTTGTAGAAGCAGTCTGCATGCCTAGGTGCTTGATTTTATACACCTGTGACCATGGAGGGGATTGGAACACCTGAATCCAATGATTTGGAGGGGTGTCCCAAACCTTTTGGCAATATAGTATATTTTGCATTTATGAGTACAACATGTGAAAACCATAACTTTTTTTTGGACAGGACTTTAGAAATGACCAGTGAATATAATCGTTGGAACATACCGATTGTTATAAGACTCTTGTTCTTTTAGGTACTGCTGCATTAGATCATCTTGCTTTTTCTTATCATAAGATATTTTCTGTTCTGCCATCCATACCTAGGACAAAAAACATCAATAAATGTTAGGAAATATCATACAAGAAGGGAACAAGCGAGTGCACGATAAAATATAAAGCAGCAACATGAAAGGATGAACCTCTATGTCCTCAAATATGAATGAAATGTAAAACGCAGCGCTGTATAATAAACCAATGACACAGGCAAGGAACTCCACTGGCTTCTTACAGCATACAGGGAAGACTCCAGAACACCAACCACTGGCCTCTCAGAGCATACAGGGATGGCTCAAATGGTCCCTCTCCACCATAGATAAACGATGCCAAAAACGATGTATTCCACCTTAAGGGAAATGGCTCACAAAAACAAGCCACAAACAGGAGCGCTAATAGTGTAGTATTCTTTATTAAATATTTATAGCTTAATCATATGCGCTTCACTTCCGTTTTAGTCACACTTTATTTGCTCATTGGTTTATTATACAGCGCTGCATTTTACATTTCAAATGTTAGGAAATGCCTAAAATTCTGAAACAATCTGACAAAACTGGCTCAAAATCACAAATCTTTACACAAAGAAAAGCATCTCTAACTGTTAAGACTGCAATTTTCAAATCCCATTGGATGCTGCTGAAATCACATCGACTTTGTCTGAAAGCAACACCTGTTATGTTAGCTTTGCAAATTGAGCCTATTGCTGTCCTGATTCTCAAACATATAGAGAGCAATTAATAGGCAGCTTTTTCTTCAAAATGCTAGAATGCTAGGTTACTGGCTGTGATGCCGAAACAAAGGTTTATTGGATCAAAAATTATTTTTTTGCATACTTGTCTTGGGCCAATGACTTAAAAACGATTAATGCCGCATAAAGTGTTATTAAACCCATGACCCTGCATTCCCTATATCTGGTCTCCCACAGTACCCAGAACATTAAGATGCAATTGTTTTAGCAAATGTAAACTAAATACCTTTTCTCATCAGCAGTATACAGCAGTCTTGTGACTTCTATCAGTGTCCGGCTGAGCACTGGTTAAAGCTTATAGGAGAAGTTTTCATTCTGCTCTGACTGTCCTATGAGGCTGCATAACCCTTGACCTCTGTCTGGACAGTGCTGATTGGCCCTGTGCTAATCACATGCACCATGCCAAAACCTCTCTAGCAATACACACTAAACTAAGCATGTGCAGAGTGACTCCTAGAGCTCTGTACTATCAGAAGATGGACTGCGGACAATAGAAGAAGGGAAGGATCAGAGAATACAGGATCAAACAGCCTTTTTACACAATGTGGAGGATTAACCCCTTAGGTTCCACAGTGAGTATAACAAGCATGCTTTACTGCATATACATACTGATTTTATTGTTGTGGGTTTAGTAACACTAAGTCAGCATGGGAGTCAAACATTTTGTGATTTGAAAAGATCTTAGTACATGCTAGTCACTATACAAGGTGATCCTTACCTCACCCTGAATCACGTTAAATAAAATGGGAGGATTCTGGATGAAAGTTTAAATACTAAATAAAGCAGTCTTAGTATCAGAGGTGCCCCTTACTAGGCTGAGCTTTATACTGGGGCTTGAGTTCCTCTTTATAATTCCATTGCATTTAATCGCTATAGCCAATTATCCACGAAAATGCAGTCCAAATGTAAACAGTGGAGGTGGACTCAATTACTGTGTGTTCAAAGAACCCTATACCGGAGACTGCCATCACTGAACACTACATCTAAAAATTACAGTTGCCTGGCCGTCACTAACCACAGACAAGTATACATGGAACGATTACCGACTTACCTTGTTACTTGCTTGTTCTGGGACAGTTACAGTAAAAGTATTTAAAACAGAACTAAACCCATTAAATTAGACTTCATTCACACCATATACGCAGAAAAACTGATGGAAAAACCTCCCAATTTTCACTTGCAGAAACACGAGTTTACATCAGTTTTCATGCACATTTCAGTGAGTTTTATACATGTTACAGATTCCTGTGCAGAAAAAAAATCTACACGTGATACTAGTGTTGTGGTGTGACTTGGGCACATAGAGAACAGATGTTTTCTTTGTGCCATTGCAAAACGCATGCAGAAAAACTCATGTCTCTACACCATAGTGTAAACAAAGCCTTTTTAATGGTTTAAAAAAAAAAACCAAACAGTTACATTCTTGGCATGCCGGAAATGCTAACTGTCACATTTGCTTCTGCTCTCAGCCAAACTGTCAAACCATCAAATGACTGGCGTCATATCTGATCACATGTGCACCACCATGGCAGTTGCAGACCAAACAGAAGCTAAGATGGCAGCTTCCTTTACTAAAAAACGAAATGAGGGTTTAGTTCCACTTTGAATCAACGAACGTGGATGGTTTTCTTTAATGCCTTCACGCCCGCAATCTTATGTAAATGTTTTCCAGAATGATGCCAATGCTGGGAATATATTATTAAATGTCAGTCTCTGAGAGCCACCAGCAGGCACTTTGCATGTTTGGTGGCTCTCTATCCCAGCTGTCACTGACTTCAGTCTCATTGACAATCGGTAATCTTATCAGTTCCTGATCATGAAATCATTATGATATGCTGATCCCATGCCTTTAGATGGCAATGAAGCCCTAAGGTGACAGCATTCGTCCTGTCCAATTCCAGGTTGTTGTTAAATGTACTTGTACAGTTAGAAAACTTAAATTCATATCAAACTTAAAAGCAAACATTATATTGTAGCTTACCAATTTTTAGATGTGATGGTTGCATTAGTTTTCTTTTTTTTTTTTGTCTTTTACTTTCACCTTGTGATCTGACCAGTAGTTCTGTTGAAAAACAATGGACTAAGCTATCCTACAGATGCAGCAGTTAGAGGGTTGCAGCCACTCCCCCTGATGTCTACAATGCAACGCGTAGATAGGGGCTATCTGATGTGCACAGTACAGATGGTCTTACCGATTGCATGCGCATAATGTGGTACTGCTGAATTTTACTGTTTCACATAGGAGTGCGCACTTTTAATTTGAAAAATTGGTTGGTTTTAACTATATTAGTTCACGAGAGTTGCTCTCTCCTTTATGTCATGTTTTACACGGAAGAACCTGAGAATATTGCTTGGGCTCTATTGAAATCGGCACCTCTGGGATTGGGAGGATTTAACCCCACATGTGCGGTTTGACCATTTATCTTATAGTGGTCAAATATATCCAGTAAGGCTCCTGTATGGCACACAGTGTGGAGCCCAGATTGCTTGAGGTTTTATTTTGTTTATTCAATGTCACAGGAGAGTGGACTTGTCTGATGTCAGTCTGGATCTGAAACTGATTTACGAGCACAATAACTTTTCTGTTTACGGATACTTTATGGACATTAATATTTCAGTAGTTTAAAATCTTCACATATATTTTTGTGGGATTTTATAAAGATTAATATGTAAAATGTGCATTCTTTTCTTCTGGGTACATGAAAATTCAGTTGTGAGGTTTTTGTTTTTTTTAGCGCTGCACTTTTCCCACTATCACATTTAGAGGGTTGAGACAAATCATTTATCACTGACAGGGGTGATTACAATGATCACTTTTTATTTATGTAAAATCACTATTCCAAAACGAACAAAAACTGTTTTCTGTAACTGATTATAAAGTATTATGTGAAGTTTGTTATTGTATATAAATCTGATAGTACATCTAACACTATCCTCTTCCCAGGACAAATACTGCTATCCAAAAGGTGTCTCAGTTGCTCCTTCATCCAGAGTGAGGGCAATCTAATACAGGAGGTGTGTAACTGGCCAGATCACCAGGGAAAAACATGCCTGTTGAAGGGGTCCTGCATGGTGCCACAAACGTTGCACTTTCCTATCTGTGATGTGATCACTCTTCAATAATAAAAAAAAGTTTGGACTCAATCTGAAGATCCGTGGTGTGCTGGCAAATACCTTCACTGGACCTGGCAGCAAGACTATTACGCCTCATGCACACTGGACGTTATAAAAATGCCAGTAGCGTTAGCTGTAGAATGCTGCAATAAAAACAAGTTTTTTGGCGGTTTTTTAGCTTTTTTGCATTAGCTTTTTTCATCGTTCTTTAGTGTTTTTCAGCATTTGTTTTTTAGCAAAGTTATACTCCCACAAAATCTTCAGGCTGAAAAAACGCTCATAAACTCCAGATAGCTGCATTTTTTTGTGTATTTTTTTGTGTTTTTCAGATTTTATCAGTGTTAAAGCATTTTTACAGCTAAAAAACTCCTCTTGAAACCAACTAGTTCTGGGTATTTTTCCAGCCAGAAACCGCTCCTGCTAAAAAAAACGCTGATTAAAGCCTATGTGTGCATGAACACACAGGATCACATGCTGAGGAGTTTACGGGCTGTAGAAAAAACGCCAGAAGCCAAAAACAGCAGCTGTAAAAATGTCCAGTGTGCATGAGGACTAAAAAGAGGGCTGGCTCCCGATAACATAAGATGGAGGTGTGGGACATAGGTTGTCTCACAGAAGGACATGGATGGGTTTTCTGGGCAGGTGAATATGTTTTCTGGTGAGAACCCAACATAACCAGTAAAAGGGGACAGGGGAAAATAAAAAAAAAAAAAGTATGGAGGAGGAAGTGAAGTTACCCTTTAACAGCAGACCAGAGTGGCGCTTTAACTGCTTTGCCAGACAAAATTAAAATATTTTAAAAAAGAATAAAAAGGAAAAAAAAAGTTTATTTTGTAGTTTTGTCCATCTGACATCCTAAAATAAAAAAAAAAAAAAAAAAAAAAAGAGTGGGCTTTTTTTATTACAACAATGTGCAAAATAAATTATTTCCGAATGCAAGTTAGCCCTAAAGCCATTGTCAGGTTAACTGGCAGAGCTAAGCTCAGCCTGGTCATATAGACGTCAGTGATGAGTTCAGGTGTGTTTGGATTAGGATGTGAACCCATGTGTGCAAACCCACCAAGAAAATGTCACCTGTAAAGGCTAATCATCTGCATTTCCTGCCCTGCAGCCACATGTATACAAGCCCCTCTGATGCCGAAGGGGTTAATGGTTTGTCGCCCCCAACATGAAATGTTTACTGCAGAGTCCAACAACATTATGACAATGAGGAGCAACCTCTGTCAGGTCTTTACCGTTAACCAGCAAATACAAATGCTCCTGCGCTTGGGGATGACTCGATGCAGGATACAACCACATTAAGAATGTCCTGGAACATGCACACCTTGCTGCCCTCAACAGACCGGGGGAATCCAAATATACTGAATGAGGAAAGAACAAAGAGAGGGCGCACAGGCCTAGTGCATTACCATAAAAAATGTTTAATAATAAAATAGGTGTTGTACTCACAAACGATAATTTATTGTCGTTTGTGAGTACAACACCTATTTTATTTCTTATTAAACATTTTTTATGGTAATGCACTAGGCCTGTGCGTCCTCTCTTTGTTCTTTCCTCATTCAGGTCTTTACCGTTGTCTGTGTCCCCACTGGAGAGATTCACCATTTGCCATCAAAACAATTGAGAAATTAGTTGGCGAATATATCACCAGAGCAGGAATAGAGTAAATCGTGCAATGGGGTCACCCATTCTGGTGACAACAGGAAATTTCCCTCACTTTGGAGAGATTTGTGCTTACTTCCTGTTGTGTCCCCGGGACATGAACTGAAGGGGGATCTTCTCAATGGGACACAGAAAAATAAACTGACAGAGGTTCTTACTATCTAAAGTATAACTAAAGTCAAAACTTTTTTTAAATTTTGGATAGAGTAGAGAGGGATTAGAATATCTGTTTTTATTGCTGTCTGTGTCCCTCTTAGGGAGAGACACCCTCTCCATTTGTAATGTTTACCATTATCACTGAGAGCGAAAATTAACCACTTGCCGTCCACCCTATAGCAGATTTACTGCTACAGGGAGGACATTCTGTGCAAAATCATGTATATAAACATGATTTTTCGCTTCTGCCACTGAGGGTGCGTGCTTGCTGCTAGAGCGCCACTTCTCCCGTTATTGGACACAGCAAAAGCCGATCAACAGGTGCCAACCAATGGTTGAGTGCCGGTACCTTTTGATCTCCGATGAGAGTGACAGAACACAGCTCTGCTTATGTAAACAAGGCAGAGCTGTGGTATGTCAACGGTGATCTGCTAGATTTTATTCAGGGAATAAATTCTAGCAGATTGCCCGGTAAAAACAGTACACAGTAAAACATTGGCTACACACACAATTAACCCTTAGATCGCTCTAAATGTTTAACCCCTTCCCATATTTTAAGTACTGATCACTATTAGTGTCACTAATTCCCCACAAAGTGTCAGTTAGTGTCAGACTGTCTGCCGCAAAATCGCAGTCCCGCTATAAGTCGCTGATCGCCATTACTAGTATGAAAAAAAAAAAAATTCCAGTATATATACACTGCTGTTTGTAGACGCTATAACTTTGGCACAAACTAATCAATATACGCTTGTCTGGATTTTTTTTTTAACAAAAATATGTAGCAGAATGCATTTTGGTCTAAATTTATAAAGGAATTAGATTTTTTTATTGGATATATTTTGTAGCAGAAAGTAAAAAATATTGTTTTTTTTTTAATATGTTGGTGTTTTTTCATTTATAGCGCAAAAAATAAAAACCGCAAAGGTAATCAAATACCACTAGGAGAAAGCTCTATTTGTGGGGAAAAAAAATGACAAATTTAATTTATGTAGAGCATTGCATTGTGGAATTGTCAGTTAAAGTAACGCAGCTGAAATTTGGGTTGTCCCTTGAACAGGAATTGAGGGGACATCTTCTACTGGGGACACTAATTCTGGTAACAGGGGATTCCCTCACTTTAGAGGGATTTCCTCTCACTTCCTGTTTTGGCAATGGGACAGGAAGTGAAGGAAAATCTCCTTAACGAAACACAGATGGTAAAAAATAAACCTTACAGGAGTGATAACCCTCTGTTAATGTATCCAAAATAAAAAACAGTTCTAAAAGTTCTACTATAAATCATTGGACTTTTTACAGACTTCACCAGTACCACAATAATAAGAGGAGTACATCTCCCCCTCACCTTCTTGATGTTGGATTTGGATGCAGGATGGAAATCCTTCTTACACATGAAGTTGGCAAATGACTTGCCCATGGCTGCTGCTCTTCAGGGAAGATCTCCCTACCGAACCTCCAGACCTGTCACTGCCAACACAACTGCACACCCCATACACAACCGAGGGACAGCCCACTTCCTGTTGTGTCCTTCCGGATGTGCGTCAATGAAGGGGCGGTGCCATGAAAACCTCATCCAAACAATGATACACCCTCTATCCAAAAAGATTCCTTTCCAGGGAAGTTAGTAAAAAGTTTATTATCTCCGTTCCAGGTGTTATTTTATATGTGATGAAACTCACTATATCACAGAAATGTGTGCTACAGAAAAATGTCCGCCTAAACACATTATAATACTAAATCTGAGACAGATTGTGTAATTGGTTCTTCCGCCCTCACGTTGCTGTCAATGAGCGTTTGTGAGAACGTATTGACGCTAATGGTTGGCAGATGTCAGTTTCCAGTCACAACATGGCACTTAATTGTGTCTCCATCTGGCGGTCATTTTGTGTGAGATGAAATGCACTCCTTCACAGGAATTTGTACTACAGAAAAATGGCCTCCATATCACTTTATGGTACTAAATTGGAGACACACCCTCTCACTCCCTCCTGTCGCTTCGGATCTTTTACGCTTAGCCCTTACGTCGTTACGCCTTGACACTATTGGACAATTGGCAGACACCCGTTTTCCAGCCGCAATATGGCGTCTTTGACTTGATTGTGTCAGCCAGCTGTTCGTCTCCTGTTTGGAGGGTGATTTGCTGGACACAAGCAGGGAGATATCCCCACCACAGTGCCGGGGTCAGAGGGGACTGAGGGAGGCTAGGTGCGTGCTATATGTGTGTATTACTGTCTCATGTGTCATTTGTGCTGTGCTACTGACTGACAGATTTCTGTTTTTGTGTATTAAAGTGTGTCTACAGGCAAAAGATTTTTTTTAGTATTGGATAGAGTGGGGAAGGGTGAGACGCTCTGCCGGATTTTTATTGCTGTCTGTGTCCCCATGAGGGGAGAGTCACCCCTATATTGTACGCGGTGACCAAGAAGTGAGCGGGGGGAGGCGTTTTTAAAACAGAATTAAACCCCAAACCCCCAAAAAAAATGGAATATATTTACAGCTGATCAATCATTACATGTTACACAGTCTGGCTGAAAAAAGAAAAAAGTTCAACCATTAAAAAAAAAAAAGTTATCCTATATCCACAGTTGACCCAGAGGAAGGGAAAAAAAAAACCCAGCAAAGCATGATCCAATTTGCTCCTGCAGGGAAAAAAATGTCTTCCTGATCCCCCGAGAGGCAATTCCCTGGATCAACTTTACCTATAAATGTTAGTATCCAGTTATATTCTGTGTATCCAAGAAGCAATCCACTGAGATGGCCAGAACCAACTCTTGAGGGAGTCTATTCCACATTTTCACAGCTCTCACTGTGAAGAAACATTTCCATGTTTGGAGATTACATTTCTTTTCCTCCAGATGTAAAGAGTGCCCCCTTGTCCTCTGTGATGACCTCAGGGTGAATACTCTACACCGAGTTCACTATATGAACCACGGATGTATTTATACATGTTGATCATATCCCCCCCGTAATCTCCTCTTCTCAAGAGAGAATAAATTCAGTTCCTCTATTATTTCCTCATAGCTGAGCTCCTCCATGCCTCTTATCAGTTTTGTTGCCCTTCTCTGCACTTTCTCCAGTTCCCCAATGCTCTTTTTATGAATTGGTGCCCAAAACTGAACTGCATATTCTAGATGAGGTATTACTAATGATTTGTACCGGGGTAAAATGATCTCTCTCACATGTGGTGGCTGCCTTTCTTTCTTTTTTAGTATTTTTTCTCCCTCTGTTTTTACCTGGTGATCTGGCCAGTAACACACCTCAATGAATTAAGGAGCATAGGAGGCACAGCAGACAGGGGGGGGAAGGGGGGGTAAATGTATTAGCAGATTTGAATACAATAGCAAACCAAAGCCTAACTCTAGCTCACACTTTATAAACAGTTACAGCAGTTTTTTGTTTTTTCCTTTTAGGATAAAGGTTTTAGATCGCTAAATACAAGCTGATCATTGTAAGCACCCCTGTCAGTGTTACATGGTGTGTCTCATCCATATGAACTGATACATTCCGCTAGAGAGCTTGTTCTTCTAAAAAAAAAAAAAACAGACTTATTGCCTGGATCACCAATTGAAAATAGAAGAAAGAGCCTAAAATGAAAGCTAATGCAGCCATCACATCTAAGAACAGGAAAGCTGCAATACAATAAATGTTCCCATTTGGGTTTAATACTGCTTTACCAATTCCAGACCAGTGACTCATACGCAGCTGCAGACATCATCCAAGCAGGGGCGGACTGACCATTCGAGCACTTGGGCACTGCCCGAGGGCCCAGGGTCAGTAGGGGGCCCCATGAGATGCCCCTGGTACCTTTTATAGGCATTTTTGGGTGTGCTTTGAGTGTAGGCAAGGACACAGGGGCCCTATGAGTTGTCAGTCCGCCCCTGCATCCAAGTATTGTGTTTTTAGAGCCAGAGGTTGGCATGCTTGTACAAGCAATCAGAATGGTTAACTAGCTGCTTGATTGTCAAGTGCAGTGCGAGGCAATCCACTGCCTTGTGTTGTGTGCCGGCTGATAGAACTTAATGACATGTCAACCGTGTGACATTTCAATAAAATTTATTTAAAAAAAAATGTAAACAGTGCCATGTATTGGGATCAGGGCATTGGCATTTATCTAGCTGGGTCACACCACACACCAGTCGCTGAGTGGCTTGTATGAATGGACCACAAATGTGTCCCCAGAAGATGGGGTAATTCTACCAATGGGGACACCTGTCCTAAGAGGGATTCCTCTCATTATGGGGTGTTTCTTCTAACTTCCTGTTGCATCTCTGGGACAGGAAGTGAAGGAAATTTCCCCAGTGTCACACAGCAAAAAGAAAAAAAAAAAAACTGACAGAGGTTTTAACTCTTCCCTACTCCATCCAAAACTATAAAAAAACACTCATGCACTTTAGGGGCTGCTGCTCACAGGTGTACAATTTGCTGTGTACCAATCGGTACCGTACACAGATCTGAACACAAAAGTATCCTATGGGCCCAGACAATAGAACCTGGAAGCTGATTGGTTTCTATGTGCAGCTGCACCAGATTTTGCACTCTCTAGTTTTATTAAATCAACCTTATGTCTTGTCAGGACTTGGATGGCAGCACTATGCACTGTCTATGCAGCCAGTGTACATTGGATGTACGGTCTACTAGCACAAGGTTAAAATGACACTAAATTATATCCATGATCTCCCCAAAAAATTCCATACACATCCACTAATTAATGGTCCGGTAATCTAATTTATTAAACTGTTTTCTGCCTTCTTGAAATATCCTGTCAGCTCCTGAACTTCTCATTTCCCTTTCATTTCTTTGTTTGGAACAAGCAATGCATTATCAATGCACATGTCCTCTGTGATCAAGCCCCGGTAGGTTGAATGAAGTGCGTCGGGTGTAGCCGGAGTTACAGCTGAGGCCATCTCAATCTAGGATTCCACGAGCAGTCGGAGCGGCGTCCACACTCATGCAGAAGCAATGCACATTAGTTGCAGATCTGACTTCCAGTTGCAGGGTGTCTGCTTTCATTCTCCAGGGTGCTACTGTATGTAAGAACATAGCCGCCCCCTCTTGCTCACTCCTAAAATGTCCTAGGGATTGCAGACTTTGGGATTTGTAATGTACATAGAGCAGTGAACATGAACAGCACAACAGCAGAAAAAAATGGAATTTGATAAAAGGATAAATAATTAGGCATGCATATATGCATCAAATATGGAGTGAGGTATTGCTGACACCCCTCTAAATATGCCATATGCCTGGCTGTCATGCGGATCTACTGACCTCAATTTATACCATGAGCTCTAGCTTACTCATCCTTGCTGCGTACTCATTCCAGGTCAATAATTAAAAAAAAATGTAATTAATATTTTAGTCGACTAAAATATGAGTAAAAAAAGGCTAAATCTATTCAGGTGACTAAAAATATGACTAAAACTAAAATGGGTCATTTTAGCCAAAAGACTATGGTGGTATTTATTCTAAAACTAGATTGAAATTTTGAAAAAAAGTTTGATGTAAAAATTAAAAAATCTGCTCTACAACATAAGAATAAGCAGGGGGTATCTTTTAACATTTTTTTTACTAAGCTACTGAAAGAAAAAAAAAATAAGAAAAAGGCTTTTCTCATTTTTTTTTTCTTAATGTTAATATATTAAGGTATAATACACAATGGCATTACAGCCAATAGAGTTTAAAGTTTGATAGGTTATTTTTTATTGTAAAGTTGTACTCCTGTTTGTCAAAAGGCTATATTTTGTTTGTTTATGAAACTTGCTTTTCTTTATAACCACTTCGCCTCTCACACCTGTTCAAACCCTATGGACCAGAGCAATTTTTACACCTCTGCTATAGACCTGTTTTTTCGGCGATAACTTTGTCATTACTTAAGATAAATATGTAATACATACATTGTTTTTAAAGGACAAGCAAGACTTTGTTTTTGTGAATATGGTCTTGCAACAATGATTTTGTTTTTCGCAATCCTTAAACAAGTAAACGTAGCAGAATATAATAAAATTCACATTTTTTTTTTTAGAAGTGTTAGTTTAGAAATTAAATAGTGTTACTGCAGATAAGAAGTGCAGATTTTATTCTGTAATTTGTCCTGGTTAAAATTACACTAAATTTATGATTCAGGTACAAAGCACTGCAAAGTTATTTACTAATTAAATTTTTTTTTTTAATTGTGCACTTTAAATGTGAAATTTGTAAATATATGTTAAAGGTGTGAAAATATTAACGAACAAAACAAAAAGAAAAAAAAGTTTAAATATTAGTTAAGAAAATAGAAACTAACAAAAAGAAATCAGCAGGAAAATAATAATTGAATGGAGAAGGAGAATAAAATGTTAATTAGGGCTGATTAGCATAATCTAAGGGTTAATAAGGGGTTAAACAGAGGATCATTTAATTAAAAAAAAAAAACACTTTTTT